AAATATTCAGTGCATGAGTTTAAAATCAACGTTTGGAGCAGCTTACTTAAATCCCTAATTTTCATACTCACACCCAGTACTCTTGAACCTTAGGATGGACATTTTGAACTTGTTTTTTTCTTATCTGCTATGCTCTGATCTATTTCAAGTCATATTTGATGAATTATATAAAAAAAAAATTCACAAATTTTTAATTTTATTTGAACAAAACCTTAAAAAAGCTTCCTACACAAAATTGGCATTTTTTCAAAAAATTGCCATAAATCCGAGAGTCGCAGGAAGTCGCAGGAAAAAATTTAGTATGATGTTCTAGACAGACACACAAGAAAAATAAAACAAAAATCAAAGCTGAACTCGACCCCCCTATTTTAATTGAAGGAATTAAAAAAAACGGACCTTACATATATTTAGCCCAAAACACCTAAATTAAAATAACTTATGGGTTATATAACTATACAATTTAATTAAATACCAATACTATATATCAAAAATGGACAAAATTTTATAATAATATATTCACAGATTGAACACGACCATCGCAATTTTATAGCTAAAAAATGCCATTTTTAACATTGGAAAAATATTCTATTTTAAATGTACCGTTATTCCGTTCTAGCTTATTAATTCGTATTATTTTATACGGACTTAAGTACTCTCAACACTCTACTTTAAAACTGCATTAATGTTATAAGGTTTCCTTCAACTTCATTTTTTGATTTTCTGCGCGCTAGATCGGTATTATTTCCCACTGTGCTGGGGTAGCTACTTCCATCATCCGTTGAAATAGTGAGAAAAAATACATGAATTTGGCTGCGGATTTATGGTTAATAGGAGCATAAAAGACCTCGTCTCCAGATACACTCCAGTAGATGAGCGACTTGCTATAATCCGCATAAAAGTGAAGTTCTTCTACATCAGTCTTATTTGCGCCCAAACTCCGGCGGAAGACAAAGATGGACAGACCAAAGACATTTTTACGAGCGCCTAGAAACTGCATATGGCCGCTGCCCTGGCCATGACATTAAAATTCTGCTAGGAGATTTTAATGCAAAAATCAGAAGAGAAAATATTTTTGGTATATTGGTCGAAATGAGGTTGATTGACTTCGCCGCAGCAAAAAACATGGTAGTTAGCAGCACCAGGTTCAAGCATCTCGATATACACAAGGACACCTGGATTTCTCCTGATCAATCAACGAGAAATCAAATTGATCATGTTGTGATAGACGAAAGGCATTCATCCAGTGTATTAGACGCACTCGTCTTAATGTAGCAGCAAAGGTGCGATCTAACGTAACACGGAAACTCGACGTCGAAAAGCTGCAAACACAACAGGTAGCAAAAGCCTACTCAACTCAAATTACCAGCCTGCTTGACGAAAGCACTTCTGTCCCGATAATAGTGTAGAAGCACAATGGCATAGAATTGCCCACTCCCTACAAACTGCAGCAAAAGCAACACTTGGGTACCAAAACCCACCATCAAGAAATCCTTGGTACGATCAGTAGTGTCGTAATGCTACCGATTGAAAAACGCAGCGTATAGGGCAACCCTGCAGACAGTAGCAACACGCAGTGCGATGGAGAATTATCGGAAGAAAAGGAGAGAGCAGAAACGTATTTTCAAAAAAAAAAAAAAAAAATACGAGAGAACAAGAAAAACGTGAATGTGAGCAAATCGAGATGTACAGGTGTCAGAATGAAGTCCGGAAATTTTTCCAACGAGTAAAACAAGGAAACCTGGTGACAGATACAGACAGCGTGTTGAGGATCTGAAAGGAGAATTTTGAAAAGCTTGGTATCAAATAGTGGCGGTGAAGAAGATACCCCAGAACCAATAGGAGATGACGGTATAGAATATATAACATCTAGCCAAGATGAGGTCAGAGTAGCAATCAATCGTCTGAAGAACAATAAAGGAGCAGGAGCCGATGGGTTACCAGCCGAAGACTGGTGGGCAGATGCTAGTCAGGAGCACCAGCTGATTAGTACAATTTGGCTAGAGGAATGCATGCTCAATGATATCCGGTGTCCCGTGCACAAAAAAGGAGACAAGACGATATGTGCCACCTACAGAGGAATTTGTCTTCTTCCCATCGCATATAAAATGTTATCCAGTGTGCTGTATGAACGACTGAAGCCAATGGTCAAGTCGGGAAGGACCTATCGGAGCCCTTCAATACCGAACGGGGATTTAGACAAGGTGACAGTTTGTCTTGTGATCTTTTTAACATCCTGCTGGAAAAGGTCATAGGAGACGCAAAGGTGAACAGAAATGACACTCTGTATTCCAAACAGCATATAATGGGTCGAACATTGCGAGTGGTAACAGCCACAAAACAAAAACATTTGTCTTTATTCGAAAATCTGTCAAATTCTATCTTGTAATATTTCTCATGGTTGACAACATTGCACGTCAAATTTAAGTTGAAGCCATGGCACAATAAAGTCGATTTTGCTCAGCTCATGACTTGATTAACTGTCAAAATGCGTAATTTATACTTGAATACGATATGCAATGTTATCAACCATGTGAAATACGCACTTTGACAGTTAATCAAGAAATCAGCTGCTCTAAATGGACTACATATTCATTGTGTCATGGTTGAAACTATGCACTTTGACAGTTAATCGAATAGTCAGCTGCACTAAATGGAGTACCTAGTTTTATTTGTGGGAATCAAGATCTATTAATAAGGTCATCCAGCTAGCGAAAGTTAGCTGTTTTTCTCTAAGTCTAATGTCAACATTTTGGACTTTCTTTACGTTTTCGTAATGGAAGTCAATTCAGATTTTGAGAGCAAACTTGAGAGGCAGCTGATATCCAGCTGGCCTCCCTGGATGACCTTACTTATAGGCCTTCGTGGGAATTAAAAAGAATGCATTGATTGACTTGGCTCCGCAAATCGATTCGGAAATTATCAAGGGAACTGTCCTAATAATTTTGATAGTAACTTCTTGATCAAAAGAATTCCGACGACGCGTATAGCAAAATTAAGCAAAAAATCTCTGATCAATCAGGACCTTCTAGGGAGTCAAAGATAGAATGATGAAAAAGGAGTATCTAAGTCGGCTAGAAGGAGGGCCCGTAAGAAGACTGGCCATAACACAAGCTTTTCCACTTCCAAAATCCCAAAGACAGCACAACACATATATCAATAACCACCCAAAAAGGCGAACACGAAGCAGAAAGTTCTCGTGACAGCATCTGCTTCTATGGCGATTGCAACTCTGAGGAACAAACATTCAAAGGTTCCAGATATCGCAACCGAAGTTGAGCAACACTGCTGCTTAAACAGGGGCTCTCGAGCGAAGAAGAATTATATCGGTCCACGGTTTGGGGCATCCCCCATATAACGGTACTTACAAATTTTCTGTATTTTAAAGATTTCTGAAACTTTTTTTATCGAATTAGTCAGAATTTAGTATTTTGGGTTCTAATTGGGTACAAAATCTCCTTATGTAAAATTATAAATATAGATCTACTTTTTCGGTTGGCCCCATATAACGGTACCCCCAAAATTTCGGTATTGTGGAGCATAGGCACATTTTTCACTCGAAATTGTTATAATTTGGTATGTTGGATTCCCATTTGGAACGAAATCTCCCTACTAAAATTTATTAATATTGGTTTACTTTTCGGGGTAGCCCCCATATAACGGTACCCCCAAATATCTGGATCTTGTGGATTTTGAGCAAATTTTTCAATCGAATTGGCTGTAATTTGGTATGTTCTAATTGGGTACCAATTCTTCCCATCGAAAATTCTCAATATTGATTCAATTTTTTTGATAGCCCCATATTACTGTACCCAAATAGTTTCGGTAATTTGGGGTTCTTGGTAGTGTTTAATATTTTTTTTCAAAGCACCACCTTATCATAATTCTACACATTAATAATTTCAGAGTTTCAGCTCTATTCCTGCATCTAGTAATAATAAGGCACTAAATTTAGTAACATTTCTTATTTTTCGTACACACAAATATAATAGAGATCAACTTTTGAGTATGATTCAAATATCAAGATTCAAAATACCAATAGCAGCTTTTTTATTACATTTCGTACAAATTTAGTTGGATTTTCGGCAAAAACGTTGTTGGTACGCTCTATTAGGGACACACAATCCCAATTATCAGATAAACGGAAATATAAAATAAAACACACACGAACATATTGGTTATAAATAGATATTTATTTGTCTTTATCAATTTTGTTATGCACTTTTCTTTTAGTTAGTCGTTAACATAAAAACAAAATAATGAAATACATATTTTATGTATAATTCTACATGTAAATGTATATAATAATAATTGAGTTAATAGTTTTTGTTTTATTTTGTTTAATACAGTTTATTCATTCTTTCTATAGGGATTTTTTCATGTCTTAGTCAATGTAATGGGAAATTTCTATTCAATTTGGAATTGGGATTTTTATTAATTTAATTTAGTTTTAAAAAAAGAAATAAAATTTAGATTCAATTAATAGATCAAACAACAAAAAAACAAAAATAATTCATATTTATGTACATTTGTTTGTGGTTTGGATTTATGTTTTTCTTGTGTTGCAACATTTCAAAAAATATTAAATTTTGATAGTTTGTCGTTTCAAAAAAAAATGCCTAAAACTACATAAACAATTTTCATCAATAAACACAAAGATATCGCTTTCTAAACTGTTTTCTATATAAATAAAAAAATATTTTGTGTTATTTTGTTGGCTTTATTGCAAAAATAAAATGTGTTTTCTTCGCTGGTTTAAAAATATATATTTGCCATAAATTCTGCTTCTAATGCTGCAGCAGTTGCCTCTCAAAATGTTTTCTGCAATTTAAACTAAGTCCTTGTTCTTTTCGGTATTTATATTACTTTTGTTGTTTTTTTTTTTTGGTTTTAGGAGAAGAGTATGTGTGTTAGTTTGGAAAATATGTTCATTTTAATAATTTTAATAATACAGTTTGCTTTTCATTCTTCGTTTTTTTTTCAATAATAAAATAGTTAATTTATAATAAAAAAATTAATAATTATATAAAAAAATGCCACTAAGTTTAGCACAAAATTGTTCTACTCGCATTTACTTTTAACCGTTAGCATTATTTGATTTGTTTGTCGTATTAAATACAGGGCACTTATGAATACTGCATTGGGTCTGAAATAGAAAAGAAGAGAAAAATGTTTGCATTATAGATTGTTTACAACAAATTCAATAGGTTTGATAAATTTGTCTGATTCGATTATTATCCATTAGAATAGTAATTTAAAAAGTGCCATTAAAAATTAAGTTTATAACCTTCATAGTCCTTAGTGTTTTGAAAGTCCTTCAGCGTTAAATGTTCTAAGAGTCATATACAAATTGGATTAAACGCACTCGGTACAAACAATATTTGGCCTGTTCCATTACTTTTTTAATAGTAAAGCTAGTTAAAGGGAAAAACTTCACTTAATGCCGACATTATGGGACCGATGACTATATATGTCGATAGTCAGGCGGCCCTTAAGGCGCACTATAAACTCAAAACCAGTTCATGATTGCAAGTCCGCTCTGAATGATATACGACAGATAGTTAGCTTATGTTGGGTTCCAGGACATCGTGGCAGTTAAAAAGGATGATCAAAATGGACATTAGTCTCCGAGTGGACGGTTGTTACTACCAACCGTACATCCCTAATGCCATGTTCTGACAGGCATTCGAACAACGTAGTTCGCTCTCAGAATTACGTACATGAATTGACCCGTTCATACAACACTATTCTTAATTCATGTCATCAGTGTTTTTATTTCAAACTTTTTGTTTCTTGTTTTACACCAAAATTCTAACATATTTGCATGAAACGCATATGGATCTAAATAGAAAAAATAATTCTCTTTCTCCTGACTATAATATCAACCCCTATCTCTTTACTTTTAATTCATGTTTTTGTTTGGGTTTCCCCACTTTTGTTTTTCGTTTTGTACGCTAATTAGAACCAAGGGGATAAAAATGCATATTGCATTATGTAGACAACAAAATGTGCATCCTTCTGCATATATAAAAACTAGAATTTTTGTTACTTTTCATTCATCATTTTCAATTTTACTGACAAAGTTTGAAAAATTGAAAATTTTTTTCATGCTGTCAAAATTAATTTATTTTCGATAAATTCTCTCAATTGTTAGAGATGGGACAAAATTCTTGGTGATTCGGAGAGTGATTCGAATTGAACAACGTACAAAAGTCGGTGTTCGCTCAGACAATTTTGTATGGGGAACTAAGTAATTACTTCATAATTAAGGGTCGAACAACGAATGAGAGAGCGAACAACGCTCGTCTGTACATGGCATAACGTAACCTAATGTGTGTGTTAAATTTCAAATTTCTGGATCTATCTTAGATATATGGACATTATATTCCGAAGAATATTTCAAGGTGTTGCAAATGGTATGACAAATTTAATAGACAGTCACCAATATGGTGGAGGGTATAATTATGCAGTCGTTTCTTGTTGTTGTAACAACAAAAACAATGTTTACACCCCACCAGAACAAATACTTAAAATAACACGCAAGTACCCATGCTTCAAATCCTTATAACATCACCATCAGCTTGGTCTTCTTGTCATTTACTGCCAGTCCCACTTTGGCAGATTCCTTCTCAATTCGTTCAAATGTGCCTGTTACCGCTCGCAAGTAACAGATTTTTGAGGTACAGTGTCATTTCTTTTCACTTTTGCGTCTCGGATGACCTTTCCCAGCAGGATTTTAAACACTTCACACGAGGAACTGTCACCTTTTCCGAATCCTCGTTCGGTATTGAAGGGCTCCGAGAGGTCCTTTCCGACTTTAACTGCTGACATTGTGCCAGTTAAAGTTATCCTGCACAGCCGTATTAATTTCGCAGAAGTGCAAAACGCAGACATGGCTTTAAATACCTCTGTGCGGATTGGGCTGTCGAATGCGGCTTTGTAATTGACGAAAAGGTGGAATGTGTCGATGTATTTTTTGTGTGTCTTTTCCAGGATTTGTCGCAGTGTGAAAATCTGGTCTATAGGGGATTTGCATTTGCCGCATTGGATACTGAGATTTCAATCGTTGGGAATGCATTCCTCTATCCAAATTGTACTAATCAGTTGGTGCATACCCCTGATCAGCGTCAGACCACCGTATTGAATAGTTCGGTAGGTAATCCAACGGCGCCTCCTGCTTTAATATTCTTCAGCCGACTAAATGCTATTGTGACCTCATCTTGGCTAGGTGGTATACAATCTATACTGTTATATCTTATTGGTTCTGGGGAATCTTCTTCACCAGAACCATTACTACCCTCCTGATAGTACCATAGGTTTCTTGATGGTGATCTTTGGTACCCAATTGTTGCTTTTGCTGCAGTTTGCTTCTGTATTATTATCGGGACAAGGAGTGCTTTCGGCTAGCAGGTGGGTAAGTTGTGCGGTGTAGGCTTCTGCGAACAAGGTAATGGTCCGAATCAATATTCGCTCCTCGGATCGATCTGAAGCATGGGTACTTGCGCAAACAGATGAGGCAGCTCTTGGAGTGTTTAGAGAGAAAAAATCTCCGAAAGGTGTATGGGCCGATCTGCGAATGAAACTCATGGTTCATTACCATCCATTCTCGGACATCGACATAGTCAGACTATCGAGCTGCAGCTTTGACTATGCCATTTGGTGATAATGGATGAAAATACCCCAGTAAAAAAGGCATATAAAAGCGAGCCAACTGAGGGTTCACGCAAAAGGGGAAGGCCATGAATCCAATTGAAAGATCAAGTGGAAGACAACATTTCGAAATATGGTCATATTGGAAGAGCTGCGCACAAGACCGACGCGCCTGGGAAGCTTTTTAAGCTCGACTTATGGAACAAATGTTCTATTTTTAACTTGAACACTTTAGTACAAATTTCATGAATGTGTCTTTCAACAAATACTCTTAAATAATACATCCATGGCTTTGATAAACCAACAAAATATAAATTGAATCCACCGTTGGCATTACAATCAACGATAGTAATAACTAAAAATAAAAATACTAATTAAATATCAATCAAATATGTTCCATGACTCACAATAAGTATTTGAAGTATTTTATCTATTTTTTATGTTCGTTTGCTTATCTCCCTCGAGTATTTCCCAAATCATCAACACGTGATAAGATTATACCCTCTACTATGCATATTTAATGTCATTACACATTTTAGAAACACAAACATACAATTAAAATAAATAAAAAAACAAAACAATTTTACTTACTGTCCTTCTTTAAAATATTCTTTGAGTGTTGTACTGAACTTTTTCGAATATTTTACAAATTCCTTTTTTCGCTGTTCGACAGCTTGTTTGCCAGTAACACCGGGTATAAAATTTCCTATTTCATTAACAACATCCAATAGTTTTTTAATGGCGCTGGCGATTTCTCTGAAAAATTAGAAAAAAATTGAAGATATTTTAATATGAAAGAAATTAAATATAAAATTGTCTATTTATTCTGAAAAAAGAACAAATTAATTTGACATTTCGGCACGAGAAATAGTAGATTAATAACTTAATACCATGGATAATTTTTAGCTATTTTATAAAAATAAATTTAAAGTCTCCCCTTTGTGAGAGATTGTTTTGGGGACAATAGATGACACATTGAATAATGGAGGCAAATAAAACGATATAGAGTTGAAGCGTGTCTTCATTGTCCAATGAAGTTATTTTCGATATATCGGACATTCGCTATATAACAACGCACGTAACCTATCTCTTGAAGAGGTCATCACACTTGACCAACATACATATAACAACCACCTTGCGAATTGGTGTTTAATTCTTAAATATTGTTGTTCAATATTAATGCAATAACTTCTTCCAATAATTTATCTCAAAAAATTTGCGTATTTTCATTAAATACTAAAATAACAATTCTTATTAGAAAATCCTGTATCAAAAAAAATCTCCCGCGTTCTCATCAGTTTCTTAAAGGAACAAATTGCAATTATTGGCATTTTGCCTTAGTGATATTATTGGAAAAATGTATCATAAATTGTAGTCTTTGGCCAGAGGCTTTAAGATTTGACAACGAAATCAAACGGTCCTTTTAAAATAAAATGATCTACAAAATAGTAGGTCTTTCGGGACATTTGAAGGCGTATATTGATATGGATGCTCTTCTACTAGACATATGCCTAAATTGCTGACTGAAACCCGATACACACGGGTAAATTAAGTCCATTTGTTTCCAATTATGGCAGTCATAATTTATAAGTTAAGCAATGCATTTTGTAACCCATCCTCAAGTTTCCCGTTTCGTAACATACCTCCATGGCACTACCGCAAATGTGCTATATAATATTCCCACTTACTTTATAGTCTCTAAGAATGTTTTTCGATCCTGAATTTCATCGGGTATACGACTCAGGATCACTTTAAGTGCCACTGATTTGCGATTTAATTCCTGGAATGGTTCCTCTGTACGCGTCAAACGATATTCGTTCACTGAAAAAAAAACCCAATTACCATAATTGGAAAACATTGCTGGAGTTAATTTCAAAACATTATACTTACAATCTGTTTCTGGTAGATTACCCTGCAGCCGTAGTACACATTCATTTAGATTTACATTCAGTTCAGCCCTACGGACTATGGACATTATAAAATCATAACAAAATCCGGGATTATTTTGTTCTGTTTTCAGAATCGATGATCGCAATGACTGGGCTGCTCCCACATCACGTCGTTCCAACTGCAACGGAACAAAACAAAAACACACATACACATTCATACATATATACGCCGTACACAAATTATGCAAATTAGATCGATTGAATATTTGGGAAACCCTACTGTTGGCACGGTTGTCAATCTGTTTTGTGGCTGCACTTTCATTGACTCGACGACGACAATCCAACTCACCTGTGCCAATATAGGTCTCAATATTACGGGCAAAACAAGTGCTGGTGTTGGCATTTCACCCATATTGTTGTTGTTGCTATTGGTGTTATGGTTGAGATATGATTTATTTGGTATTTGCATAGAATTTTCGAACAAAAATTAAAAAGGGAAATTGAATTGATTTCAAACACGGAAGAACGATCAAAGAAAAAAATATTTTCACACAGAAATAAAAAACCATACAAAAACACGTATCAGTTCAAGGTGAGTAAGACGTGTATAAGAAGAAGCATATGTTTGACAGTGTTCACATATCAAGGTGAGTGACACAATGAGGTGTGTTTAGTTGGCATTGGATTAAACAGGGTGATTCCAAATTGAAGAGTATTTCATTTTCATGAAAACCGGATATGAATTTACTTGTAAAACAAGAAACAAAAATTACTAGAATATTTAATGGAATTTCCCATTTTTATAAAATTTCAAGAAATAAAACAACTTGTAAAATATTCAGCATATTCAGAGTTGTCTTCTTTTTATGTTTCTCAACTAATTATAGCATATTATAGGAGTCTCAATGAAGCTCCCGATATTTATGATATATCTTAATTCCGATTATAGTAAAACTACGGGAAGCAGAGCTGAATACTACCGGTCACGTCCAAAGATCCACATTATACTGTTACAGTAAAATCGAGGCAGCAAAACTTTTATAACAGGACGTTGCAAATTGTAGAAAGCCCAATAACATTCATTGGGAGGCTGCAAATCTTAATATGCAGTCCCGGACAGGCAGCGGGTTTTTTACGGGGTAAGTCTCGGAGGAAATGGCAAAGTACCTCTGATTCCAAGGCAAGATTGATGCCGCTAAATAACCTGTTATTAGGTCACCGCCATCCTAAATTGACCTTCCTAATGATGGGGTTTTAGGCGACCTCATGCCCAGGGTTTGTAGTCGGGGTAACGACTGCACGTACGAACGGGGCCTTGGACCCTACACAAGTTGCCCAGACTTCGTTGCCAAGTCCCTGCCACGGTATAAGCCTATACCATGGTCGACCTTATATTCTATGGAATACTCAGTAAACCCTCCTCCGACTTATAAAAACAAAAATGAACGCTATAATTAGCTTGATATTGGTGTGGCTGCCTTGGCACATTCAGTCATGAATCTAAAATCGCAGTTTCAAGAACAATTTATTCTTCCAAAATCACATCGACCACTTCAAGTGTATTAACTCACTCCCAACCCCATTATATTTGGTGACATAAACGAGCCTGGAGAGACATACAGACTTTCTCCCCGCCTCCTTTCACCAAGAAAGTATCCTGACCTATCACTGAGTATCCCGACGATATCACTGTAACGGCAATTCGAATGACTCCTCTAAATAAAGGATAATAATTAAAGGCGATTGAAGACGATATAAACCTCGGGGGAGATTGAAGCTCCAATTCCGATTCCGATCAGTGGATGCTAGATCAACGCAAGCAACCACCAAGTCTGTAAATGTAAAAGAAATCTTCTATAAAAAGATATGCTATAGATCAACCGGTTCATCGAGGCGGATAGGAATTCGATAACCGACAAGGATTCCTTCAGATTCAGAGGAACTTCAAAATTAAACAGAAGTTCTCACGGAGGGACTCCTTAATCGAAAGAATTCCGATGTCGAGTGTGAAGGTGGCTCTAGTTAATCGTACAACGGAGAAGACAACTATGATTGATTTCTTATCAATAAGGACCTTATAGAGGGTCTCTGAATTATGACAACATATTCAAGGGCGGTATGCAGGATTGGGGCCGTATTGAGGGGATTTTGAGTCTCACAATTAACCTATGTCAAAAAATTCAAAATAAATTGAAATATATTAAAATTTAATAGAAATGAAAATTATGTTTTTAACACGTTCGTCTGGAAGTTACTTTGTTATGGATGAAACAAACATTTGATGGTATTCCCTACTGGATTTTGGGAAGAAATCATTACCTTTCATTCATTTTTCGCGTTTTTAGTTTTGTGTTGAAAAAATGTCAAATAAACACAAACACTTGTTGCGTATATTTATTTTATTTTTGGCAGAAGAAGCCACACGTGCATAGTTGATTTTTTGTTATTCACCTCAAGCTGCCATACCTTGTATTATTGTACCATGGTGTCACCTTTTTTATTTTACCGACAAATATCAGTAACATTAAAAAAACCTATTTTTCATGTAAAAATTAAAATCTATTTCAACTTCCTGATATCTGTCACTAGACCTTAATGACTACTTTATTTTGGTCGTTAAATTACCGAAAATTTTCGTTAATTAACGAAATTATAAGCAAGTGATTTTTTTTGTCGATAAATGACAATCGACGTTAACTTTGTCGTTAAGCAGTTATAGCACTACAGATTCTTGAATAGAGCAATTTGCATAGATTCTGAAGATTTTATAAGGCATAAAATAATTAATCGGGTTGAAATGTCGATTTTTTTTTTCTTGACAAAACTCGATGCTATAATAAAGTCGATTAATAGATTAGTTAAAATTCGACTTACATATCACTATATAATTTGTGCAAATTTGGGATGGCAAAAAATAGCAACAAGTACTAAAATGCTGCTTGTGAAAATAGTACCTTTATTATTGTTTAAATATTTTTATTACATATATAGATGTTTTTACCGTTTATTTATATATAAGTAGTTTATATATTATTGTATTAAAAATAAAAACTGATATTAAATTAAAAAAGAACTTTAAAAAGTACGAATCTTCGTAATTTTCCATCCCTGTTGCAAATGCCAGAAAGAGTACATGGTGGCAATCGTTGATTTTTGTTGGTTTTATACCTTCTTCTTTTTGTAAACACAAATTGTCAGAATTGAAATGAATTTACTGGGGTCTGTGAACGGTTAGCTTGTGCAAATAAATAAAAAAAAAACAACAACAGCGGCAGTACGACGCGAAACAGGAAAGCTCAGTTTTTATGAGATTTGTTTGCAATTTAAACAAAACAAGATTGCAAAAAATAGTTTGTTTTTATTTTGCCGAAGCTTTCAATGTTAATGATCGTTGTCATCGAAAAGGCATAGTCGGACAGACAGGCAGAAGGAAGGAAGAAGGCCAAAGAAGACTTTTTCTTGTTCTTAAATTTAATTAGCTTAGCGGAGAAAAACAACAAAATAAATGTTTAACACCACGATTGCGGATTGAAAAAAAAACCAAAAACTGAAAACTTCAATACTAAAATGTTAAAGGTATTGCTTGCATGAATTTGCATTTGCAGCTTTTGTTATATGTGCTAACTTTTTGTTGTTGTTCTTTTTTCATTGTGCCCTCGTCGTCGTTGCCGTCGTTTGTATGGTGCACATGTGTGCGTGTGTGTGATTTGTTGCTCTGTTTGGCGGCGTCTAGGGTAAAGGACAGCGTTCCTTTGAGGAAGTATGGCCAGACATGCGAATAATTGTTCTCAAACTGCTAAAGCAGGAGACGGTTTCACAAGTCGAATGGCAAGACTTATTCTATGGCGTCCACTTGGTGTGTCTGTGGGATGAGAAAGGTGCTGCGAAAATTTACGATTGCCTACGTAACGATGTTGTGGAATTTATAGCCCATGCCCAGCTTAAGGTCCAATCGCAGAGGGGTGAACATGCTCTGCTCACCACCTACATCATAGAGTGGCGTAAATTCTTTACTCAATCCAGTTACCTGCCTCTACCGTTTCGCCAGTTGGAACATTGGTTTCAATCCAAAACATCCACTTCGTCGTCCGGTTGTTCAGCTTCAACATCCGCCTCAAGTTCCTCCACGTCTGCAGCATCGACTTCGGCAGCAGCAGCTGCGGCCGGCACTTCCTCCGCAGCAGCGTCCTCATCGTCGACGTCGTCAAGCACCAAAAAGAATCCCACCGAAGACAGCATAGTGCGTAAGCTAATGCTAGACTCCTGGAATGAGCACATATTCAAGGACATCAAGGACCGCTTACAAGAATCGGCCATGAAGATAGTTCACGCCGAACGTAATGGCGATGCCTACGATGCCCAGTTGGTAATTGGCGTTCGAGAAAGCTACGTCAATCTGTGCTCAAATCCCAAAGATAAATTGCAAATCTATAGAGAAAATTTTGAAGCGGCTTATTTGAAAGCCACAACTGCCTTTTATCGCCTCAAAGCCACCGAACAACAGCAGGCCAATGGAGTGTTGGCATTCATGAAATATGCCGATGCGAAATTGCGCGAAGAGGAGGCTCGAGCTAAACGGTATTTGGAACCTAGTAGTTATGCAGTTTTGGCCCAGACCTGCGTTAAAGTTTTGGTGGGCGACCACATGAATACCATCATTGCCGAGTGTGCTCCCTTGATTAAGGAATACGAAACCGACCGTTTGAATTTAATGTTCCGTCTACTAGATCGTGTTCCAAATGGCGTAGATCCTATGCTACGAGATTTAGAAAATCACATAGTTTCAGCTGGTCTGGCTGATATGCTGTCGGCTTCGGAAATTATTACACAAGATTCGGAGAAATATGTTGAACGTCTGCTGGAATTGTTTAAGAAATTTAGTGCCCTCGTTAAGAATGCCTTCAACGATGATCCACGTTTCCTAACGGCACGCGATAAGGCATTCAAGACGGTGGTAAACGATACGAGTGTCTTTAAATTGGAATTGCCAACTGGTATACAGAATCGCGGTGTCAAATATACAGCACCGGAAAGTAAATGTCCCGAATTGTTGGCCAACTATTGTGACATGTTGTTGCGTCGAACACCGCTGAGTAAACGTTTGACAAGTGAACAAATTGATGCACGTCTCAGGGATGTCTTGTTGGTATTGAAATATGTTAATAATAAGGATGTATTTATGCGTTATCACAAGGTTCATCTAACAAGAAGGTAAGGCAAATGAAAAACATATATATATTTTTGTAGATTATATTCAGAGATTTAAAATACTCATATGTATATATGTATGTACTTTGAGCTTTTGTTTGACATTGGGGCATAGACTTTTTTAATTCTGGAGATGTTATTATTTTTGTCTGAATCATTTGAATATTATTACCAAAGTCTGATGATACTGATAAACTGATGTAAAGAAAAACCTGTATTTATGAATATTATTATTGATTTTGGTACTTAAGGGTCATTATTGCATAAGGGTCATTGGCATATTTCTCTTTTTTTGATATGACATTATTTCGTTTTGTTTCATGGGCTATAAATAAGGTCTACCTGGTGGCGGTCTTAGAATTCCATACTTTGTAGGGTAGAAACCCCCGGAGACAACCCCAAAACACGGAACAAATGAATTAGGTTAGGTTAGGGATGTACGGTTTTTGTGACAACCGTCCACTCGGAGACTATGTCCATTGTGATCATCCTTTATGTAAATATACTTGTAATGAAAAGAAAAGAGATAGTGGAAGAGTAGGGAGAGAAGATAGTGAGAAAAAGGGTCGGGAGGGAGAGTCAAATTTTTGACAAAGCCTAGAATTTGGTTAGGGTCTATTTTGGAGAAGAAGATTAAATTATCAATTTCGTAACTTCCAAACTGTTTATGCCTTCTGCTGATCAGCGATGGACATTTACAGAGGATGTGCTCAATTGTTTCCAGTTCTTCTTCGTCCTCACATAGACGACAATAATCCTCTCCACTGGAGTCCCACTTAGAAGTGAGAGATCTAATTTTGCAGTGACCAGTTATAATCCCCACAACGATTTTGATCTCCCTCTTATTGTGTTTCAGCAGCGAAGACGTTCTTTTACGAGAGAATTCAGGCCAGATAGATTTTGAGATTCTGCAAGCAGGTTCCCTTAGCCATCTATTACCGACTACCTCGCAATGGAACGCACGGATTCTGCCAATGAAATAGCTGATGGGAGGTTTCACAGATCTCTCAATCAGAAGATTGGACGACTGTGAACCCCCTCGAGCAAGCACGTCGGCTATCTCATTCCCTTCAATGTCACTATGTCCTGGAACCCAGCATAAACCAACTATCTGTCGTATATCATTCAAAGCGGTCTTACAATCATGAACTGCTTTCGAGTTTATAGTATGCGACTTCCCCGCATTCAGGGCCACCTGACTATCGACATATATAGTCACCGGTCCCGTGATGTCGGCATTAAGTGTTTTTACTATCTCAGCCGCTTTTGTGATTGCAAGAATCTCTGCTTGAAAACGCTACAGTTATTGTTGAGTTTATATGAGTTGTAAATTCCTAATTCCCTACAGTAAACGCCTGCGCCGGTGCCTTCCTCCATCTTAGTCTGTAAAGATTGACAGACCTCGCAGAGGTAAGGAGCCACTAGTCCAGGAAATTCAACTTTGATGTCATTAAAGTCCCTATGAGGAGGAATATAGTCACTGATATGACTATCCCCCCTGTTGACAGATTTCCTCACGGAAATCTCTCCTAGGAATGAGTTGATATTTCTGCTTTCCGGCATTCAATTAATCTATTCCGTAAGGAGTGAGAGCAGAATGGATGGCCTCCAGCTTCACATTGTTGAAAGCTCCCTCGATATCGAGGAATGCTGCCAACGTGTAACCAGAGGACTCTATATTCTTCTCGATGCATCCAACCACCTCATGCAGGGGTGTGTCCTCTGATCTGCCTTTGATGTAAGCATGCTGGGATTAAGTTTACTATGGTCAATGGTATTTCTAATTTCTGAGTCTAGTAACATTTCTAAAGTCTTGAATAGAAAGGAAGAAAGGCTAATCGGTCTATAGTCTTTTGGTAACGTATGTTGCGTGTCTGCGTCTTTTGGTAACGTATGTTGCGTGTCTGCGTGTTGCAGCATGGCCGGTATTATACCATCTGGGCCAGGAGATATATAGAGTTGAAAACTGTTTATCGCCCATATCAGTTTCGGGTGTCTTATAGTATCTTCTATCAACTTCTCCTCCTCCCTCGTCCAAACTGTAGGCTGATGCACACACTGCGCATACTCCCTATAGTCCTTACAACCAGGAAATTGGGTTGATGATAGAAGAGTCAAGAGTCTCACTACCAGAGTTTGTCCAAGTTCCATCACTTCGCTTAATACTCCCTATGGATTTTGGATCCTTATATAGTACTCTGCGGAATCTGGCCGCTTCGTTGACTCCAATTGACTCATTTTAGCAGATCAAAGACTCACGTTTAGCCTTCTTGATTTCGCCCTTGTACCTATTGAATTGCCTTTTATAAACATCCCAATCTGCACTGAGCTTTTTCTTACTAGCTCTATTATAAGCTTTCCTTGCAGGCAAAAGACAACTCTATTCAAAATTTTGGCGATCTATCTCAATTCGTTTAGAGGCTAGAGTGATTACAACTGCCAGATGGATATGGCTAAATCGCCAGAGCATTTTACAATTATCAAGAATATATATATACTTTATAGAGTCGGAAATGAATATATCGATGAGTTACAAACGGAAAAACAAAATGAATATAACCTCCATACTATGGTGGAGGGTATAAAAACTGATAGTTCAAGAAGGATCGCTAAAGCCTCAAACAGATGTCTCTGCCTGCTCCAGATACTTTTGTGTTCGGTAAACCAAATGGCTTCCCTGTCCACCATCCAGATGTAGTAAGACAAATGAAATTACTATCAATTTCGTGTTAGAAATGCATTTAACCATTGGCGGATTTAAATATGCCCAAAATTATACGACCTTCAACCCTTTATAAGGCTGCCCAAAATGTGTGAACCACCGCGTTTATTTTTTTTGGTGCCTCTTTATATATGTTTTAATAATATATGTTTTAATAATAATAAAAACCCGTTATATTCTCGTAGACTAATATTGGGTACTAGTGCAGACAGTGAAAAAGAAGAAGATATTGTTGAATGGTTACGTGAAGTTGGTATGCCTGCTGACTATGTAAATCGTTTGGCCCGTATGTTCCAAGATATTAAAGTAAGTCGTAAACATTCATATCACAACGAAATGTATTTTGAAATAACCCAAATTTCATCAATTTCAGGTTAGTGAAGACTTAAATACACAATTTCGAAATTCCACTGGTCGTCACGATGCCATTAATATAAAAATTTTAAATGCTGGTGCTTGGGCTCGTTGCTCGGAACGTGTATCAGTTAGTTTACCACTTGAACTGGAAGACTATATACCCGATGTTGAGGAGTTTTATAAGAAAAAACATTCCGGCCGTAAATTGCAATGGTATCATCACATGAGCAATGGCACAATAACATTTGTTAATAATTTCGGTCGTTACGATTTGGATGTGACGACCTTTCAAATGGCCGTACTCTTTGCTTGGAATCAGAGACAACATGATAAAATATCATATGAAAATTTAAGATTAGCCACTGAATTGCCAGGTATGATGACATAAAACTTGTGGCAAATAATATAATAAATTGCATGATTTGTTTATTTTTTCTGCATTCTAATCTAGATCCCGAGCTGAGGCGTACTTTATGGTCATTGGTTGCCTTTCCCAAATTGAAAAAGCAAATTCTGTTAATGGAGCCAAATTGTCCATCACCTAAAGATTTCACAGAGAATACCTTGTTTTATGTTAATCAAGAATTTGCTGTTGTTAAGAATGGCAAATCACAACGTAGGGGCAAGGTAAAATTTGAAAAAATAAATAATGTTATTATTCGTTGTTGTAATGTGGATGTGTGTTTTCCGTTTCGTTTTTTATAGCTGAATTTAATTGGCCGTTTACAGTTGAGTACTGAACGTTCAATACAAGAAGACAATCAATCTATTGTTCAGCTGCGTATTTTACGTGTACAGGAAGCCATTATAAAAATTATGAAAATGCGTAAACGGATGAATAATGCCACACTGCAGGTAAGTTACAAAACTGTAATAATGTGTTTTTGATAAAAGGGGTAATTGAAAACTTGGTAGAAAATATTCCTTGGATGTGATTGATTAAAGACATACCAACTTATATAGATCAAGTTTGAATGGACGGTTGAATAAATGACGGACTTTGAAAGCGGGAAGATCACCAATTTATGATTTTAAAAAATATCCATTTTCTATTAGAATTAGAAACAGTGCTATAACCGGACTGGAATAGACCAGGTATGCCTAGATCTCATAGTCCGAAACTATAGGAGAATGTTGCTGTACCACCCGTTTGCTAACGATAATGGAATATTGTCGTTGATGCCATACACCATCCAGCCAATTACACAGTAGTATGGTAGTTTTCTAATCGAAATTTGACAATTCGTTGCAATTGAGTGCAGATTGCAGAATGTTTGCAAAATAATTAATTGAGAAACCGATTGTTCCGGAATTTTGGTTGTTATTAATGTAGTTCTGTCCTTAGGAATTCTGCCTAGACGACAGTAGTCAAATCCGCTATCGTGTCCATTTGGAAGGATGATATTTGAATGATTCCAACATCTACTACCAGTAGATGTTATGAAATCCTCTGTTCTAGTAGTATAGTGTATCTGACAACGGTCAGAAAGCTCTGCAGTCATGGATTGCAATCGGATTTATAGTTCCTTGTCGTAAGCAGACTGGACGATATGTGCCAACTGTAGAGGAATAAGTTCCATTCCCATCGCATATAAAGTGCTATCCAGCATGCTGTGTGAACGACTGAAGCCAATGTTCAATGACATTATTGGACCATACCAATGCGGCTTCCGACCTGGCAAATCCATCATTGACCAGATTTTCACTGCGCTAAATCCTGTAAAAGACCCACGAAAAATATATCGAAACATTCCACCTATTCGTCGACTACAAAGCCGCATTCGACAGCCCAATCCGCTCAGAGGTGTTTAAAGCCATGCTTGAGTTGGGCATTACTGCATATTTAATACGGCTATGCAGTATAATTTTAAGTGACACAAGGTCAGAAGTTGAAGCCGGAAAGGACATTTCTGAGTCCTTCAATACCGAATGAGGATTCAGACAAGATGACAGTTTATAGTGTGACCTGTTTAACATCCTGCTGGACATGGTCATACGAGATGCAAATGTGTCATATGTTAGTCGCCTATGCCGAAGACATCGACATAATGGATCGAACATTGCGAGCGGTAACAGCCACCTTTGAACAAATTGAGAAGGATTCTGTCAAAGTGGGTCTGGCAGTAAATGACGAGAAGACCAAGCTGATGGTATCAACGCGCAAGACGTCCAGTAGGCTCGGACAAACTGTGGAACCTGAGAACTACAGCTTCGAGTGAATGATTTTATATACCTCTGTACCGTCATAAGCAAAACTAAAAACATCAGCTTTGAAATCCGGAGAAGAATAATGTTGGCCAACAGATGCAACAATGGTCTAAGTAAGCAGTTAGAAACCAGGCCACCTCCCGCCAGACCAAACTCACACTGTACATGACGCTGATACTACCCGTCCTGCTATATGGGTACTTGCGCAAGCAGATGATGGGAGTGTTTGAGACATAAATTCTCCGAAAGATCTATGGGCCGATCGACGCAGACCGGACATCTATTCTCGGACATCGGCATTGTCAGACGTATCGAGTTGCAGCGACTATGTTGGCTAGGTCATGTTTTGATGAGGATGCTCCAGCACAAAAAAGGCATATAAAAGCGAGCCAACTGATGTCTTAGGCAGAAGAGAAAGGCCACGAATTAGATGGAAAGATCAAGTGGAAGAGAAAATTTTGGCAAATGGTCTTTCAAAGTGGAAAGCTGCGCGAAAAGACACTGAGAGGTAGTTTTCTACCCATTCAGAAATCTCTGGTTTTTAATACCCGGAATGGCACGACGTTAGCATGTTCGAAGTGTAAAATAAACGACGTTCTTATTCCTCAATACCACATTCCACTTCGGAACTAAAGTAGATTGGAAATTCAGAATCGGATTTAGTGCTTCCTGTGAGTTGATAATGTTAGCTAAAATTCTGAAGAGTGATTCACACTTTATACACTTCCTGGTTTACATAAAAGCTTCGTTCTTTCAAGTCCTTGTGACTAAATACGTTACAGTGGAACAGGATTGAAAAGCATCAGAAACACTGATTGTCCCGCACAGCCAGACAGACACCATTACTCAATGTATACAGCATTACTTTTTGTGGCATTCAAAATAGTATGTGCACTTTTTTAATATAAAAATTTCTTTGTTTATTTTTCCTTTCAGGCCGAATTAATTGATATTTTAAAAAATATGTTTTTACCATCAAAGAAAATGATCAAAGAGCAATTGGAATGGCTTATCGAACACAAGTATATGCGACGTGATGATGATGATATCAATACTTTTATATATATGGCTTAAGTTTTATATACACATGGTTTGTTTATTTTTTACACTAACACATACATACATAAAGTATATGCTAACTAAATTATATATATAATTATACATACATACAGATAGGAAGAAAAAAGGGAATATTTTATTAGTTATGCTCGAAAAAAAAAGAAAACACATTTTGATTTGCTTCAAAACCACAGAATTCTACATGCAGAGAAAAAAAAACACGAACCTCTAACACAACAAGCAAATTAAAGCAGGAAAATAGGCAACAGTAAACAAGAAGAAAACAAAAACTAGTTCTTATGAAGAAATTAACACAAATTAACACAACACAACAAAAAAGTCTTGTTGTATATATTGTTGCAAACATCTAAGTATATAGAACAAGACTATAAATTTATATTGTGAGTGTGTTTAAGTAAATATTGCAATTTTTTAATATTTGTTTTTCCAAATTTTGCATCACATAGTGGTATTGGATTTTTTTTAACATTTTTGCTATTCATCCATTGACTGGAGTGTAAAACCAAATGTATCCATTATCATATTTCGTGCAAGATTTAATTAATTTGTTCTATTACAAATATTCCAATGGCGGACATGTCTATTCTTTATGATATTATGGTGAATATGATTGTATGGTGGACCAGTTTTCCTTACCGAAATTGTTCTGTATTTTAATATACACTATTGGCTTCAATCCTACAGAATTCTATTTGCAGAAATGCTAATACAATTGGATTTCTGTTAAGAAAAGTGGCAACATGAATACAGGGTAATATTCCTGCAATGCTTGAGTATATAAATCTATATTATAAATGTGAAAAATTATTTGTTGAAGCCCAAATTGCGATATATTTCAGATCTCTTCCTTTTTTTCTCTTCTTGCCAATTTTATTTGTATTTCAATAGTAATGTAAATTTATTCCAAATTATAATTATTTTAATTCGCATAGATACCTTGGTACCATATAGAATTATACTTTTTATATTTGTCCATTGTCCGGATTGTTGCATACAAACAAGAATGAATAATTTTTTTTATAATAAGAAAATTCAAATGAAAACTTCTTATTATAAATTTTTGTTTATAAGAAATTTTATTGTTTTAATATCAGTTTAATATCCTATTCCGCTTAAAGTATCCCCTTAATTGGATTATATAGATGATCTAATTTTGGTGCTGTTTTAAAGTACATACACAAGTAAATTCTATCGAAAAATAAATAAATTTGTAATTTTTTTTTTATATTTCAAAATCAATTCCATCTTCAATAATATTGAGGGAACACTGTTTTGTTTCCATTGATTTTTTTCTTTTAAATTGTTATATATATTTTTTGTTCTATATCATTCCTTTTAAAATTTACAAAAGATAAATATTTTTTTTCAATTTCTTTAAAATTAATATTGTGGAAAAGATCATCGACTTAATATTTATACACATGTTATGGCTTTTTTTCTACAAAAACAACCCTCTTCTGAAAACATTCAAAGGAAAAATGTTACAGTCAAACCAAACCCCTGTTCTGTCAATATGCATTTTGAATATATTGTCATATGTTTGTAATATACAGAAGATACAACCATGGTTTATTTTGAGAATACACTCTAAATCACTCTCGGATAAAAGGACTCGAGAAAAATACATATGTGGTATGTCCTATCAATTGTAATCTCATTTGGAGCTTATAATTCCTTATGTAAGTTTAGGGTTTTGAATCCAGATTCCTCTAGCCATCTGCTTCCAGACAGATCACTTTAAAGATCGGTCGACTCTGAGCCCCAATCATGCCCTTCAAACCATGTCAGTATGTTCCGGAACTTCTTTGCCGTCTTGGCTAATTTTTAACGTACCAATGTTTTTATGGCGTGATTATTTTTTCTTGACAGACAAACCAAATTAGAATCCTTTTCGTCCATAAACAAAATTAAATCCAGACATTTTTTTTAAGTTTTAAAAAATGTAGCTTATAAGAGCTAAACATAGAACTTTGGACATACAAAAAATTCATTCTTGCGTAACGTATGCCAATTTGGTTAAAGACCGCTTAGATATACGATAAGCTCTCATATGTAACTTCGTTCGATTTTTTTAAACGAAAGCAAAGTCTGTCTGATTAATATTAAATTTTGCACCGGCCGATTTAAATTTTGATCCGATTTCATACAGTGAGTTAATAAAAAATACGTCTCTTCAATGGATAAGATAAAAGTGGTCAGGTTGTGCCTCTAGTCTGGTGTGTAAAATTTGGTTTAAATCATAATTGAATGTAGGACCCCTATACAATTACTTACATATTTGTATTTTATAAATCCGAAAAGTCATTAAAGTGTCGTAGGCTCCATTCCTAGTGGGTTAGTTTTCCCAAAAAAAAAAAATTTTTTGACGCGGTCAAAAAATGGAAAGTTTTTCTCAGCATTTTCTTATGGAAATATGATCTGCAGCAATTTACATGAAATAAAAGATTCTATGTGATTTTAAAAACTTTATTGATTTCAAATAAACAAAGTATATTTTTAAATACCAGGGTTATGATAGTAACTATCTGAAATAGGTAGTTCGATCTGAATGTTAGATGAACATGCTGTATATTACAATAGGAATACAAATCTAAAAAATGATTGCCATTACAAATGTCATATGGAATTTGTATTCGCCATTAATTGTCATATTTCAAAAACACACTCCAAAATCCCACACAATTTCTTATACATATTTGTGCTATAAAATAATCTCGTTTGAAAATTTTTATGGAATCTCTGTGATGTTTTTTTATATTGAAAGTTATTCACAATAACAAAACATGAAACATAAAATAGGTGTACTTTTTCTAGCAATTCTCTCAAGGCAATTCTTGTTTATAATATGGCCAGTATATTTTTCAATTACATTGGTTTTTTTGTATAACATTGTGAAAATCGCAAGAAAATATTAAAATCCATTGTCTTTTATGTGTTTTAAACTTAGATTGTCGACGCCGCCATCAGTTGTCTTTTTTATTTAATTATACACAAACTTTTTTGTTTCTATTTTTTAATTTTGTTTTTAGTTGTTTTATTGTTAAACATTTTTTCATTTTATCGTATACTATAAAGTTTTCTTGTATTTTTTTAGTGCGTTAATATTATATTTTTCCCATTTTATGTAAAAACAAGTTATATGAAATAATCAAGTTTCCATATTTTAATATTAGAATAATAATTGTAAGTTGTATGTATATTATTTCTATTTAATTTTAAGATTAATTATTATTATTCTTTTTTAAATTATATATTTCTTTTTGAAAAATTGCTTATGTTTTTTTATACTTTCTCCACGTAAAGAATTTTACATTTTAGTTTTGCATCGTGTTCAGGATTAAGTATAGATTTTCAAGGCAGTATTTATTAAAAAAAAAAAAATATATATATATATATATATATATATATAAGGCAGCTGCTGTTTGGTTAAAATAACTACACTTAATTTTCTAAATAATAAAAATATATTCAACTTATTTAAATTCAATTTAAACTTGGATCTAATTGGTGATTAATTTATTATTGACGATTCGAAGAACTACATGGATATATACTTTGTAAATCTTTGAAAAAAAAAAACGTTATTCATGCTTAAAACATTCTTATAAAACAACAACCTTTACTAAATTGGCTCATGTTATTAAAAATAATTTTGGAATGTTATTAAATTATTTATATTTAAATCTCAATTGTGTGCATACAAAAAGCTGAAAGTCTGTCTAAAATTTTTGAATTAAAAATTACAATAAAAACAAAGTTTTGTTCTTATTATGCTATGGAATCGAAAGCAAATACAAAACCTAACTTCATCTAGAAAATAAGTAATTCATTTGCATTAACATTAAATGAAACAACAAAAATGGAATGTTCGAGTTTAATAATAAAACAAATAATTATAATGAACAATTTTAGCAGTTTTACTTATAGTTTATTATAGTAGCTAAAAGGTCGCCAAACCTGGATTATTTTTTTGCAATCCAATTCTAAACTAAAAGGCAACTGATGAACAGAGTTTTGTAAAATTCTCGATTTTAATTTTTCAAGAGAACTGATTAACCTATCTGATGCTTTAGTGGTGTACGAAACTTACATACTAGGACCAACCAAAATTCATTCCCCAAAGTTTAGAGTTGAAGTACATATCGGAACTTCTGATAGAATGAAGAACTTAAAATTCATCATCCTCGATGGTTGAATCCTTTATGTATGAAGGATTATAGCCGGAATTAAATTTGTAAGCCAATTAACAAGTCATCCTTCATACATCTATATACTCACAGAGAAACGTGTAAAAATTTTAAAATAGATTGGGTTATTAAATGCCCGCCATCGCAAAAGAGAAGAATTTTCGAATTTTCACTTGATGCTGACACAATAAATCGGCTATATCTTAGAGTTCCCCATTTTTATAAAATTTTGTAGGAACGTGTTCAATTTCCTGGATAACACAATTTGATGAAAATTGGAACAATTGTTGAAAATGCAGTTTACAAAGCATAAATGCAAACAATTGGTGTTTCCTGGTGAAGTTTTACTAACATTTTCCCAGCAAAAATATTACAACAGTATGAACCGCACACTTCTTTAAGTAATGAAAGTTCACAGATAAAACATTTTTCGAGAATGATTAAAATCTGTTTTATAAGGACCAACCAAAATTCATTCACCATAGTATGGTGGATATATTAAAATCATTCCGTAATTTGGTAGATTGGATTGACATTGGGTACCAAATCTCCCTACCAAAAATTATTAAAATAGGTCCACTTTTGGCTGTAAATTCTATTTTGAACCGTTTTCAGCCGCATTGGCTGTAAATTCTAAATATCATCTGCCATGCTTCAGATCCAGAATGTATAGAGTGTCAGATCCAGCGTCTTATAGAGTGTGAGTTTGGTCTGGCGCGACTTACTTAACTGGCTTGTTACAGAACAGTTGTTCCCCAAGCCGAGCTTAAAAAAGATTTCCAAGCGTGTCAGTCTTGTGCGAATCTCTCCAACTTGAAATACCATCTTCCTTGATGTTGTCTTCTACAAGATTTTTCCATCTAAGTCGATGCCTTCCCCTTCCGTGTGAACCACCAGTAAGCTCGCTTTTATATGCCTTTTGAGCTGGGGTATTCTCATTCATTCGCACAACATGGCCTAGCCGATGTCCGCGTATAGATTGCAAAGCTCGTGGTTCATACGACACCGATATTCACCGTCGACGCAGATCGGTTCGTAGATCTTTTGGAGAAATTTTCTCCCAAACACCCCAAGACCGTCTCATCTGCTTGCGTAAGTACCCTTGAAAGTAGCTACCCCTGGAGAAAACGCGGGGAGGTCAGTGTCCACAATGGTAATGAAAGAGGGGCCAAGATAAGCCTGGGCTTTGCCATGTTAAAGACAATTAGAGCCGTTGTTTGGTATCTATCGAGCCCTACGTCACCCCTCATTTCAATATGCTAATGCTAAAATTTCGTATCAAACGAATAAACCTTGGGAGTTTTCTGTCCCAATTACCTAAAATCGGACGGAAATATATATGAGGGCTATATCCAACTCTGAACCGATATGAACCAAAGTTTGTATTTTTCATTATTTAGTAAAACATACGGCACGTACAATGTTTCATTAAGATATTGAACTTACAAGACCTGGAAACACTATGCACAGTGGAAACACTGGGTAATTGAATTAGCGGGTGAACTTATATTGCATATTGTCATGTCTCATCGTGAGATAGAGGAATTTTTGCATGAACACCTGGCGGTAAAAACAATGTGTTTTCGTTAGATCCCTCATAAATAAACAACCGCTCCAAAAAAGGCTCGAATGTCGATACGTTTATAAGATCGTTACAGGTGGATGGATTTGTGAAATAAACCGTATGTGTGTGTGCGTTTTTTTTTTTTTAAGACGAGCCTAATGCAACGAAAATTGTTCGTGGAAAATTTGATTAGATGCAAATGGTAGCATGTGAATAAAGTCTTCGGAGAAATTCGAAAAAAGAACAAGTGAACGTTTGAAGCTAAAGCCCAAGCCTGAAGTTTGTTCGTGCTATTATACCATATTGGGATATATAAATTAATTTTCAAATTTTAGTATGTCTCACATATTCCTAGTATACCTATGTATATAAGAAAATTTTGTAATATTGTTCTTGTAATATTGTTTTGCTCAAAATTATATTAATTCTCGTATAACAGTTAACTTCTTCATCAGTTATCATAGACTGTTATCGGAATTTTAATTTTGAAATGATTCCAAAATGTTGAAAACAATTGTATTTGCTGCCTATTTACTTCATTGGTAATCATTAAACGTGTACGTATTTTATGTGATTAATAACAATATGCCTAATCGCTAAACATTAAAAATTTCCATTCTTTTATTAATTAAAAAAACTATCGGCACATGTTTGAAATTTAAATTGCAAATTTTGATATATGCAAAAAGCCAAATGTAAAATAAATTTGTTTTGCTTTATTTTGGATTATATGGAATATTATATAGAAACATCCGATATGAGAAATATTAAAGTCAGCAGTGACAGGGACCTTTGATATAATTTCTAGTAAGGTCAACAAATATTCCTTTTGGAAATCTGCATTAAAAAAAAGAAAACGGAAAAATGTGACGCGTTTTTAATACAATATAATAGAATACACATCCTTAGAATGGCTAAAAATTTAAGATACATATATTATGATTTTTATTTATTTATTTTGGACTAAAAAATATATTATTTTAATTTTTTGAAAATTAAAACAGTAAACATTTCAAATGTAACACAGCACGTTTCATCCCATCTAACTTCATAGTCAAACAATATAGTATTTTGTTATGACAATAAGTATTTATTACATTTTTGCTAAATCATTCTAGTGGACCAATCCGTTCCGCTAAAAACATTGTCAAACAATATTAACAACAAAAATGTAAACATTTTGTTTTTTTTTTTATTTGTCATATATACTTATCTCCATATAAAAATTCTGCTGAATCATTTCATAGGTATGTATGTTGTTATATACCCATACAATTAGAATATAAATTTGGGAGTATGCAATCAGAGTTTATTCTGGTATCAGTTAATAATTCTGATTGGGAGAGAATTATGTCAGACAAGTAGTAGGTTTTATTTTATCTAATTTGCAATCAAGAGTGTATCACTGGGTAGGATATGCATATAAATTCCATGCTTCTAAAAGTTTATTCAAATTACTCCTAACAAAGTGAATACATTTGAAAAAAAAAAATCCAAACAAAAATTTGGGAATACAAAAGTAACAACACAGTGCGCTATCCAAAATTTATCCCGACACAAAATCCAATATACGTTATTATAGGTTCGATTTGGTACGTTGTGCACTAATTCGTTCAACATATAACATTTTGATGAAATCGGATGAAACTATATATGGGAGCCAGAACGTACGCCCCCTTCATGAATTTTTTTCACAGTAACTTTATGTTTGCAACAGCTACATTTTGTACTACCGGCGACCTGTACTTTGTTTACAATTTAACATGGACAGATGGACAGGTGGACGGACATGCATAAATCGACTTAAAAAGTCATTCTATGCGTATTCTTAAAAGGAACCATATGTCTACCTCGTTTCCTTTTGCCTGTTAAAACATATGCACAAAGACATAATACTCTATACCACAGTGTGGTGAAGGGTATGACAATGGGGTTATATGGGGACTACCCCTAAACGGGGAAAATATTAATAATTTTGGGAGGGAGATTTGTTAGCATATACGACTACAGAATACCAAATTACATTCGGTTGAAAAACGCGCTCAAGAATCCCAAAAACCGAAAATTGGTGGTTACCCTTATATGGGGTCTAGAGATTTGCTACCCAATCAGAACTCAAAATACTAAATTACAGCGAGTTCGGAAGAAAAATACGCTAAAAAATTCCAACAAATTAAAAATTTAGGGTTCCTTTTTTTCTATTTTTTAGTGGAGAAATTTGGTGGGGGTAACGTTATATGGCGGCTACCAGAAAAATCGGACCTATATTTATAATTTTAAGTGGAGATATTTGGTACCAAATAGTAACCCAATGTACGATAAAACTTACTACGATAAAACTTTTTTCCTTTATGGTATCGAAAAAAAATAGTAAAAACTCGTAGATTCTGTCAGTACGGGAACAGACCAAAAATAATATACACCCCTAATAGAACGTTTACATTGTACCGGATTTCGTTAACCTAGTAGTTGTAATGTAAATGTCGTTTAATATTATATTTTCTTTTTTAGTTAAAATACCTAAAGATATTCTAAACCAATCAACAAAAGATTTTAAATATTTTCCACAGTCAAATTCTAGAACAAAATTCTTTTAATTATCAACAAATTTATTTCAGAAATAATGGGCATGACCTATAGGGTATATGGGCATTAAAGAAGACCAGTTCAAAGTGGCTAGTCATGCTGTCGATATACTAACAAAAGAAATAAACATCAAATAGAAATGAAGCCAAACTTAAATAAAAAAATAAGAATTTTTGACAAAACAGCTGTTCGCCCAATTCGCTTCACAAACTGATAAATATGTATGTATGTGGACAGCTACCAATATTTTTTGTATTAATAAATACAACACGATTATAATTTTATTCAGTTGCTCTCAAGACTTCATAACGTGTACAACATAATTCTCCGCGGAATCATATCAAAATGGTCAAACTTATTTTATACGGTGTCGATCTTAGCCCTCCAGTTCGTGCCTGTTTGCTTACACTGAAAGCCTTGAATTTACCCTATGAATATAAAGTGGTCGATTTATTGGCCAAGGAACATTTAAGCGCCGATTTCTTAAAGAAGAATCCCCTACACACAGTTCCCGTTCTCGAAGAGGATGGTCAATACATTTGCGATTCGCATGCCATTATTTCATATTTAGTTGATAAATATGGCAAAGATGATTCCCTTTATCCCAAGGATTTGCTAAAACGTGCCTTTGTCGATCAACGTATGTACTTCGAAGCTAGCATCTTGTTCCAAAGAGGTTTGCGCAACATCACCGTTCCATTGTTGGTCAGAAATGAAACTAAAGTCTACAAACAACAAATTGATGATATTTTGGAAAGTTACGAATTCCTTGAAGCATTCCTTAAGGAAAACAAATATATCGCTGGCGATCATTTGACCATTGCCGATTTCAGTGTTGTTACATCGGTTACCTCATTGGTGGCTTTTGCTGAAATCGATGCCAGTAAATTCCCCAAATTGTCAGCTTGGTTGAAGACCCTCGAGGCATTGCCATATTACAAAGAAGCCAATGAAGTTGGAGCTAAGCAGTTAGTTTCGATTATTAAGTCAAAGAACTTCACCATTGTTCCTTAAGAATTGTATCGAATATGTAATTTTAGTGAATAACAAATAATTAAAGAAAAAAATATAACGGTTATTTTGTGTTTATTTATATTGAGAGTATTTGTGGTTTATTCTAAGTGTTTTTTAAGAGACGACCACCGACTTATTTATCACCAATGGAAAATTTCCAATAATACAGATAAGTTCGAAACTATCTACACAATATTTTTTCTTGTATTCATGTTTTTACAGATCGAAACCGCAGATTTTTTGGAATGAAATATTTTTTAAACTAAACAAATTATTTAAATATATATTTTTTATTTTAATATATGGTAAGGCTGAAGGATAATATTAACGGTTTTATTTTTATCCAACATTTCAATGACGATCAAGGCATACTTTAAAACAGTTTACTACCCAATTCCCTATGAAAAATATTGGAATACATTTTTCAAATATTATAGTGTTTTGTTTTTCTTTTATTTTGCAGCGTTATTTGTTCGCAGGGCCAGGTCTATGTCATATTACAAGTTATATATTAAACTCTGAGAACCCAAAATGACAAATTACAGCAACTTCAATTGGAAAATAAAGCTAGGAACTTTAAAATATTCAATATCGTTGAAAAAATTTTCTTACAGGATTTTTTATAAACTCATATTGTAGGCTACAATGCGCCTGATAGAAGTAATAGTTCTTTCAAACATAAATGAAATTTGAAGATGGGAAATATCGGTCCACTGTTTCTGGAACCTTCCCCAAAAAATTATCAATGTTTTGGTGAAATTTTGATCTAAACTTTGCAGAGCCTAACATTTTAACCAAGAGACTCCATATTCATACCAGAATTTGTTATACCCTTCACCACACTGTGGTACAGGGTATTATGTCTTTGTGCAGGTAAAAGGAAACGAGAATGTGCATAGAATCACTTTTTGAGTCGATTTATGTATGTCCGTCGGTCTGTCCATGTTAAATTGTAAACAAAGTACAGGTCGCATTTTTGATTCGAATTGGATGAAATTTGGCACAGCTCATCTATTTAGCACAAGGTCGAACCCTATTGAAATTGGGAAAAATCGGTTCAGATTTAGATATAGCTCCCATATATATTTTCTTCCTATTTAAGGTAAATGGTGCTCCAAAGTGCCTATATATCTTCCGATGTGCACGAAATTTGACATAGCGTACTGAACTAAGTCTAGAACGATGTCTGTTAAATTTCGTGAAAATCGGTTCAGATCTAGATATGGCTTCCATATATATGTTCGTCCGTTTTTAGGTAAATGTGCACCATAGTCCCTTTATATCCTTCGATTTGCACGAAATTTGGCATAACGTACTGAATTGAGTCTAGAATGATGACTGGTAAGTTTGATTGATTTGATTAAGATTTCGATATAGCTCCCATATATATTTTCGTCCGATTTTATGTCAAAGTCCCTATATATCTTTCTATTTGCACGAAATTTGGCATAACGTACTGAATGAAGTCAAGAGTGATGTGTGTTAAATTTCGTGAAAATCGGTTCAGATTTAGATATAGCTTCCATATATATTTTCGTTCGATTTTATGTAAATGGTGCACCAAAGTCCCTATGTATCAATCGATTCGCATAGCGTACTCAATTGAGTCTGGAATGAAATCAGGGAAATCGGTTCAGATTTCGATATAGCTCCCACATATACATATATATTCGACCGAATATATATCCTATATTCGACCGAATATATATCCTATATTCGACCGAATATATATCCAAACTCCTAATGTTTGTCCGATTAACACGAAATTTTGCACAACGTATCAAATTGAGACTTGTTTTGTTGAAACTGGCACAGATGCAGCCATAGCTTCCATATGTATTTCGAACGGGTGTCTGATTGAAATAAAATTTTTAACAGTGCGGCGTACCAAATAGCGTGTTTCAATTTTGCTATAAATCATTTTCCATAAATTTGTCCCCTAGTACGCAGACGGCTCTAAGTCTGCCCGAATAAAATTCAATTTAGCATAGGTTGCAGTAATACATGAATATGTTCCTTTGAGGGAGCATTGACATGCAATTGTAAGGATACATATGTACAACATACCCGAAGTGGTGGAGGGTATCATATAGTCGGCCCTGTCCGACTTTACCCAAATGAATACACACATATGGGTATTTACCCTATTTTCGGGGTATTTATCCACTGCCCATCTCTACTTATTATCTCCGGTACTTTTACCATAACCTCTTCGAATTTTGAAAAATTATAAATTGATTAAAAAATTCCAACTCGACACGAGACAGTGATATCATAGAACTCCGCAAACCAAAATAGTATCCATAAGTCAGGACAAGTGGCAACACCGACTGATATTTAGAGTAAGTTTGGAAAGGTCTAAGAGGAAATGAAATATACCAAAAATTAGATGTGATAGGAAATATAAAGTACCGGCGGGACCTTGAATGTGAAAAATGACTGGAATTCAATTCGGTAGAAAAAAAAAACTGATAGGATCAAATATCAAAACATGGACCTACAAATCCCAATACTTTTTTTTATACTCTAAAACACGAAATGGCTAATTATTGACATTGGTTGCATCTAGCACCATAAAAAGTATTTAAATTGAGCGGCCGAGTATTCACAGTCCCCATGTAAGAACATGGTCCTCTTTTAAATATTATCTACATAGAAATCGCTAAATTAGCAACAATTAATCTTCATAGAGATAGAAGGCAGGCAAATAGTTTTTTTATTATCAATTAATTTACTCAGTACTTTTCAACAGTTCATTGTGTTCACTACGGAATTCTAGGCGGAACGGCAAAACTTATCAATTTCCACTATGACAAAACTTGTTTTATATGGCGTCGATCTAAGTCCACCGGTACGTGCATGTTTGCTTACGTTGAAAGCTTTGAATTTACCCTACGAATATAGAGTAGTCAATTTACTAGCGAAAGAACATCTCTCGGAAGATTTCTTGAAAAAGAATCCTCAACATACTGTACCCCTATTGGAAGAAAATGGTCACATTATTTCCGATTCACATGCCATTATTTCATATTTATGTGATAAATATGCCAAAGATGATGCTCTATACCCGAAGGATTTGTTGAAAAGAGCTGTCGTTGAACAACGGATGTATTTCGAAGCTGGTGTATTGTTTCAAGGTGGTCTACGCAATATTACAATCCCTCTGTTATTTAGAAATCAAACTCAGATTCCTAAACATCAAATTGATGCTATTGTAGAGAGTTACGGGTTTTTGGAATCATTTCTTAAGGACAATAAGTACATGGCTGGCGATCATCTAACAATTGCTGATTTTAGTATCGTGACAGCGGTTACTTCGTTGGTGGCTTTTGTTGAAATCGACCCAACTAAATTCCCCAAATTAAGTGGCTGGTTGAAGACTATGGAATCATTGCCTTACTATGAAGAAGCTAATGGTGTGGGAGCTAAACAATTGGTTGCAGTAATCAAATCGAAAAATTGTACAGTGGTTCCTTAAATTAATTTATTTATTCAGGAAAGAAAAATGAGAAAACAAATATAGTTGTTGCTGAAAATTTGTGTTGTTTGAAAGTTTTTTATTAAATATGGGATACATAATTATAAACTGTACTATTGACAGATCCTACATTAAAAGCTAGACAACAAAATAATTGAACCTTATAAATTTGGTCATTTTTGAAGTGTTTAAAAGGCGTAGATTTGTTGGCTGTTCTATAAAAAATGGATATTTTAAATAATATTTGTGGTTCTATGTTTTTACATTAGCTTGATATTTTTTTAATACATTTGGACTTACCACTAGTTCCGACTTTCGTCCATCCTGTGGTAGCCTTTCCAATTCCATCTTTATCAGCTACTGAAGCCCTCTAATGAACCCTGAAGGTTCTTGTGAAGACTTGTCAATAGGACCGACTTTCATCTTCTTAAGACAGCCTTTATTCTGCTGAATTCCTTCTGACTGATAACATTGAGGTCATACGTATCGTTGGCACTTAACAAATTGTACATAAATACACCTTTCTATCCATCGCTTCTTATGACTTGACACTTATGGGTGCAGGAGCCGCCAGTGAGGGTTCCACAGTTACTTTAAATCACTCACTTTTAACTTATATCCCTTCAGTAGCCGTTCGTTTCAAAAGAGATGGTCTGTCGACGTATCTACGACGGGTTCCTCTTCGTTGGAGCCTACTCCCTCAACTAAAATTTTTGACGTTCTCTGTCTATTCGAGTGTAGAGAACTTATGTTAGAGACATTAGCATAGTCCTCCTCATCTGACATTAAGGGTATCATCCCATATGTCAACTGGGATGCTCTACTGGTTTAGACGGAAGCTGCCGTATTCCTCAGCCGTATTCATTTATGTTGCCCGAGATTTGCTCAATGTTGGCGCCCGTTGCGACATGTGTGAACATATGATCATTGATTTGTGAGAAGAGTCAGTGTCCGAATCCTAATTAATATTCCGGGTATTTGCGCTTCTGACATTTGAGACTGAGGGTGCAAAGTCAACCACAGCAACATCAGTCGAAGAATTTGTTTTGGTCTTTGGGGGGTTTAAAAAGGTTGGCGGGCATTACAACAATGACAGTAACGATACTCATTGCGGAATATAAATGTCTATGAGATTTCTATTCAGTTATTCTCAGCTATTCGTAGCGTTCACTTCTGTTAACGGAATTCTAAAGTAGAACTGCATAATCAAATAATCGCCAAATAAAGATGGGTAAACTTGTTTTATACGGCCTAGATCCAAGTCCACCGGTACGTGCTTGTCTGCTTACATTGAAAGCGCTGAATTTACCCTATGAATATAAAGTAGTAAATTTACTGGCTAAAGAACATTTATCCGAGGAATACTTGAAAAAGAATCCTCAACATACGGTGCCCACACTTGAAGACGATGGACACTTCCTATGGGATTCACATGCCATTATGGTGTATTTAGTTAGTAAATATGCCAAAGATGATACATTGTATCCCAAAGATTTACTAAAGCAGGCTGTGGTAAATCAACGCATGTTCTTCGAAGCTGGTGTTTTATTCCAAGGTGGTTTACGCAACATTACCGCACCACTATTCTTTAGAAATCAAACCCAGATTCCGCAACATCAAATTGATGCCATTGTAGAGAGTTATGGTTTTTTGGAATCATTTCTTAAGGACAACAAATTCATGGCGGGAGATCATCTAACAATTGCGGATTTTAGTATTGTGACATCGGTTACTTCATTGGTGGCCTTCGCTGAAATTGATCCATCGAAGTTTCCCAAATTATGTGCTTGGTTGAAGAGTATGCAGTCATTGCCGTTCTATGAAGTAGCTAATGGTGCGGGTGCCAAGCAATTGGTGGCCATGGTTAAATCTAAAAATTTTACAATTGTGCCTTAATTGAATGGAATTATTAAACATTTGCAAAGCATTAGAGAAAAAGTTTGTTAACAAGAGAGTAAATATAATAGATATGTTGGATTTTGTAATTAATTGGGAAAAAGTGTTTTCTCGATAACTGAGTGGTGCTATTTTCTTTCCCATTTTTAAATGTGCATTTCCTCTAAAAAATGGCTCAATTTAACATTCCATTAAATAGTTTTTTTTTATTTTTGTAAAATTCCATAAATAAATTATCTACCTACGCTACTGGTTTTAATTGTTGTCTTAAATTCCATCGATTATTTCAATACTAATGAATGTTGAACGCTATCATTAATAAAAAAACAAATAAATATTTTATATGTATGTATATGATTCTGAATTGAAATAAAAACAACAAATCGAGTGAACAGATGGCAACTGAATTATCATTGTCAATAATATTGATTTTTTTATTTACTTAAAAAATTAATAAAACAAATCGAAATGCACAAAGGTTAGATTAACGGAATATGAAATTTGTAATTGGAAGGCCTTGAGATGAGAGAATTTGCAGGAGGGGAACAAAAAAAACGCAAGAAAAATGGTACATGCTTGCAAACAATTTGGAGGGAGTTTTCGTCCAATAGTTAAAATATGAAAATCCGACTATTAAATCGTGGCACGATTAATTATAAACCACATTATTTTACTAAATTATACAAATCTAAGTGTACTTATATAAGGTGTAAGCATGGCCCTTGGACTTTGGGTGTAAGTGACAATCAGTCTGTTTTTATACCCTTCACCACACTGTGGTACAGGGTGTTTTGTCTTTGGAATCGAGATAGACCAATGGTTCCTTTTGAGAATATGCATTGCATCAATTTCTGAGTCGATTTATGCATGTCCGTCCGTCCGTCTGTTGATGTTAAATTGTAAACAAAGTACAGGTCGCATTTTTGATTCGCTCATTCATTCATTTAACACAAGGACGAACCCTTTTGAAATTGGGAAAAATCGATTCAAAATCGGTATATTTTCGTCCGATTTATTATAAAAGTTCCATATATCTTTCAATTTACACGAAATTGGGTATAACCTACTGAATTAAGTCTAAAATGATGGGTGCTAAGTTTCGTGAAAATCGGTTCAGATATATATATACATATATATATATATAGCTCCCATATAAAGTTTCGCCCGATTTTAGGTAAATGGTGCACCAAAGTCCCTGAAAATCTTTTGAAAATCGGTTCAGATTTAGATATAGTTCCCATATGTAAATCTTATGTAAATGGTGCACTAAAATCTCTATATATCTTTCGATTTGGACGAAATTTGGCTTAGTGTACTGAATTGAGTCTATAATAATATGTGCTAAGTTTCGTGAAAATCGGTTCAGATTTATATATAGCTCCCATATATAGTTTCGCCCGATTTTAGGTAAATTATGTACCAAAGTCCCTGCAAATCTTTGGATTTGCACGAATTTTGGCATAGCTACTAAATTAAGTCTAGAATGATGTGTGATAAGTTTCGTGAAAATCGGTTCCGATTTACATACACCTCCTATATATATTTTCGTCCGATTTTAAGTAAATGGTGCACTAAAGATCCATAGCTAGGCCGATTGACACAACGTACTGCAGTTAATTGGTCTGTTCCCGTACTACAAGAATCTACTATTATTTACTACGATAACACTTTTTTCCTTTATGATATCGAAGAAAATAGTAAAATCTAGTAGATTCTTGCAGTACGGGAACAGACCAAATATAAATTCATTTCTGGCAAGATTCCTTGAAATCGGTTCAGATATAGATATAGCATAGCTTCCATATATAATTTCGACCTATTCATGTTAATTGTACACTAAGTAATCAATGGATGTCTGATTGAGATTAAATTTTAAATCGTACCGTATACCAAATAAAATGTGTCATGTTTGCTTTAAATGTGTAGTGATTGATGTTAGTTCGATCAATTTCATGTCAATGTTCCTTCAAAAAGGCGACGTCTGTTAGGATACATATGTGGTCTGTTGCCGTACTGCATAAATCTACTATATTTTACTATTTTTTTTTCGATATCATAAAGGAAAAAAGTGTTATCGTAGTAAAAAATTGTACATTCTTGTAGTACGGGAACAGACCAATGTATAACCCAAAGTGGTGAAGGGTATCATATAATCGGCCCAGTCAGACTTTACTACTTTCTTTACTGGTTTTACTTTTGTAAAATAAATTGTCATAATATATTAGTGTTTTCACTTGAATAATATTTTCAATAATATTTAGGAGAAAAATTCCCCGGAAGATCTATGGGCCGATCTGCGTCAATGGCGAATATCGCCGTCGAATGAACCATGAGCTATACCATCTATTCTCGGACATTGATATAGTCAGACGGATCGAGCTGCAGCGATTACGTTGGCTAGGCCATCTTGTGAGAATGGATAAAGATGCCACAGCTCAAAAGGATGGTTCACGCAGAAGGAAAAGGCCACGAATCCAATGGAAAGATGTAGTAGAAGACAACATTTCGGAAAATGGTCTTTCAAATTGGATGTGATGCGCACAAGACCGACGCCTGGAAATATTTTTTAAGCTCAGCTTATGGAACAACCGTTCTGTCATAAGCCAGCTAAGTAAGTAAGTAAGGGTTCAATTTTGGTTGAGGATCATATTATAAATTCCTTTAATATCCGATATATGGGATAATGTGTGGTACAATTATATGGGGATTATCCTAAACAGTGAGCCAAAACAGAATCTTTTTTGTAGCATTATTTTCTACCTAAATCTCAACCAATTGTGGCACCGTTATATGAAGGCTATACCAAAACATGGACCGATATATACCATTTAGTACAAAATGAAAAATTCGCTGTTGCAAACACAAATTTACTGTGAAAAAAATTCATTTCATTCATTCATTTACGCCCCCTGCGTACGTCCATGGGTCACTAATACTTAGCTCAAGCGAGATAGGTCTGTACTGGACAGAATGGTGCAATATAAATGCTAATTCGCCACCTCTCGTACGATCCTTCCTTATGACGTTGTATCCATCACAACTCTGAAGACTTCAAATGTTTTTCAGCTTCGTTTTCTAGATCGCCGTGACCATAAACATCTTCGACGCATAAAATCCACGATTTCGTTGACTTTCCGTCGAAGTCCTTTATAGTTGAATTGGAGAAATGGGACATTGTCAGGAGTTGTGACAGCAATGTGTGGTGTTAGTGGCTGCACCCAGATAAGACTGAAACAACTCTTAAAAGGTACACATTCTCCGCATCCGTTGCATCTCACCGAAATAGATCTATGGTGGATTGTGACAAACGGAGCAGAACCGAGGTCCGAGGATTGTCTTAATCTCGGCAAAAAAGAATCCGGAGCAAACATTCCGGGTAATGTAGCTGCCAAGATGAAAAAATACACTGACATGTCGAAAGTTGTATAATAAAACAATTGTTTATTAGGTTGAATATTTTAATGCGATTGCACAAGCAAAATTTCTTAAGGTAGAACATTACATACCCTCGGCAATATGGATACATTTATTTGCAATGAAGTTTCCAACCCACTTGGAAGTGTACTTTATTGCAGCGATTGTTGTGTAATGTATAGTTAAAACTTCTGATGTAATGAGAACATATTTTGTAACCCTCTGGGTTCAAAATATTCAGCCACTTTTAATGGATCATGTGCTGTGTATTCAAAATTCGTTAAATCGGCCGAGACCTTTATATCGCTGTAAATTGACAGTTTTTTAGGCTCTAAGAAAATTAAATCCCAAAATACCGAAAATATGGGGCGGTACCGAAAATGACGGATACCTATGTCAAAACATTGACCCATATTCAATGACTATTTTAATATAACCTCCACCTCATTGTGGGTGGTATAGGAATTCTAAAATCCTAAGGAGTTTTCAATTTAATTTAAAAAATAACATTTAAAATACCCCATCGTGAACCATCGATGTCTACAAAAACAAACTTAAAATACCTTCCATACTAAAAGCATGGTATTTTTTTATTGTAGTATTAATCCCGTCTAAGGTAATGAAGAGAGGGGTGTAGTTCATGCTTAAGAAATTTATGATTGTACGTTTCGCATGAAATTTCAGAACAGAATTCCTTCTAGTATTTTGTTATTATCTTCCCCATTTGTGATTCCCAATATCTCTAATATCAATTGATTTTGACACTTACGTTATTACAAATAACATATCGAAAATTAGCAAACAGTTTGCCCACACGGCTAGTTTTAACTAGTCATTGTGTAAATAAAAGTAACAGCTAATCATTGCTGTTGACTGGAAATGTTTATCACTTTTTTATTTTATTTAGTTGTTGTCAACTTTTCACAGCGAACACTACGCGTAACAAAACTGAAACTTTTCTTCACTAAAGATGGGAAAACTTATTCTGTACGGCATAAATCCAAGTCCACCTGTACGCGCTTGTTTGCTGACCTTGAAAGCCTTGAATTTATCCTATGAGTATAAAATAATAAATATTCTAGCTAAGGAACAATTATCGGAAGATTATATGAAAAAGAATCCTCAGCATACGGTACCCACACTCGATGACGATGGACATTTCATTTGGGATTCACATGCCATTATTGCGTATTTAGTTGGTAAATATGCCACAGGTGATGCATTGTATCCAAAGGATTTACTGAAACGAGCAGTTGTGGATCAACGCATGTATTTCGAAGCGAGTGTCCTGTTTCAACGAACTTTATGTAACATTACATTTCCAATGCTATTTCAAAATCTGACACAGATTCCTCGAAGTAAAATCGATTCGATTTTTGATAGTTATGGTTTTTTGGAATCATTTCTGAAGGGCCGCAAATACATGGCTGGAAATCATCTAACAATTGCTGATTTAAGTATTGTGACATCGGTAACATCATTGCAGATATTTGCTAAAATCGATCGATCTAAATTTCCAAAATTGTGTGATTGGTTGAAAACGATGCAGTCATTGCCATACTACGAAGAAGCTAATGGTGTGGGTTTAAAGGAATTGGTGAAAATGCTTGAAGCGAAAAATTTCACAATTGTAGATTAGTTAAATTAGAAGTTGAAATCGGTGTCAATTATACGAAACATAATTAAAAATAGTAATTATTTGGTAGATTTACCTTAAGATTCTAATGTGCAGTATTTTATTCAAAAATCTCTTTATTGCTAAATAAACAAATTAAGTAAAAATATATAACGAGTACAAATTCACAACTTGTTTGCTTGTATATTTAGTAAACATTTTCAATTGTGGGCACTGACCACCCCGCGGTGTTACCAGGGGTAGCTACTTTCACCAGTAAGGAAGGAACATTGACATGATCTTTATCTATAAGTAAACCGACTAACATCAATCCCAACACATGTCATTCTGCAAACCTATCCTAATTTTAAATAGATTTAAAGCAAATTTTACACACGCTATTTGGTATGCTTCACTGTTTAAAATGTAATATCAATCCGGTACCCAGTTATTATTTGGTGTACAATAAACACGAATATGTCGAAATTATGTATGAAAGCTGAGCTATATATAAATCTGAACCGATTTCAAGGCAACTTGCCAGAGATTAATTTATATTAATTTCAGTACGTTGTGTCAATCGGCCTAGCTTTGGGTCTTATGTGCATCATTTAAATCTGAACCGATTTCAAGAAAACTTGATACACGAAAGGTTTTAGTAACTTCAGTACATTGTACATTGTGTGGCAGACGGCCGAACGAACGGACGAAAATATATTAATGCACGAAGTCAAAGTGTTCAAAACAGATTTTCACGAAATTTAACACACATCGTTCCGGTCTCACTTCAGTACGCTATGCAAAATTTCGTGCAAATCGAAGGATATATAGGGACTTTGGTGCACTATTTACCTAAAATCGGACGAAAATATATATGGGAGCTATATCTAAATCTGAACAGATTTTCACGAAATTTAACACGAATCGTTTTAGATTTAATTCAGTACGATATGCAGAAATTCGTGCAAATCGAAGGATATATAGGGACTTTGGTGCACTATTTACTTAAAATCGGACGAAAATATATATGGAAGCTATATCTAACTGTGAACAGATTTTCACAAAACTTAACACACGTTATTCTACACCGAATTCAATACACTGTGGCAAATTTCATGCAAATCGAAAGATATATAGGGATTTTGGTGCCCCATTTACCTAAAATCGGACGAAAATATATATGGGAGCTATATCTAAATCTGAACCGATTTTCTCGGAACTTCGCACACATCATTCTACACTCAATTCAGTTCGCTATACCAAATTTCATGCAAATCGAATGATATATAGGGACATTGGTGCACCATTTACCGTAAATCGGACGAAAATATATATGGGAGCTATAACTAAATCTGAACCGATTTTCTAAATTTCAATAGGGTTCGTCCTTGGGCCAATCAAGTGACCTGTCCCAAATTTCATCCAAATCGGATCATAAATGCGACCTGTACTTAGTTAACAAAAATACATGGGCGGACGGACAGACGGACATGCATACATCGACTCAGAAAGTTATACTATGTATATTCTCAAAAGGAACCATGGATCTATCTCGATTATTTTTGCCTGTTACAAACATATGCACAAAGACATAATACCCTGTACCACAGTGTGGTGAAGGGTATAAAAATCTACGAAAAAGAAAACCTAATTCCCTAATGGTGACGACACCCGCAAACGTATAAAGGACCATGATCTGCGAATCTGCACTTGGAATGTGTACAACGAATAGGCGCAGTTTTCGCTTTAGCGGAGGTACTCAAAAAGTACAAAGCCGATATAATTGCCTCACAGGAAATGCGATGTAAAGGGAATGGCGTAAGATAATCAGATGATTACGCCCTGTACTAAAGCTAGCATGAAATGAGTCATGAATTTAGCTGCTGATTTATGGTTAACAGGAGAATAAAAGTCCTCTTCTCCAGATTCACTCCACAAAATCGAAGTTCTTCTATACCAGTCTTAGTTGCCCCATGGTATAATAATTACAAGGTAGGGCACAGCTACCAACTGATTACAATTTTTTCTCAAGGTGGCTTGTTCCATCAAATCAAAATACACATTTTGTGTATGTATGTGTATTGTGTTGAATACAATGTCAAATAAATTAAAAATAAATTTAAATATATTCAAATTTAATTGAAATGAAAATGATGTTTTTAACACGTTCGTCTGGAAGTAATTACTTTGATATGGATGAAACAAACATTTAATGGTATTCCCTACTGGATTATGGGAAGAAATCATAACCTTTCATTAATTTTTCGCGTTTTTAGTTTTGTATTGAAAAAAATGTCAAATAAACACAAACACTTGTATATATATTTTATTTTTGGCCGAAGTGGCCACACGTGCATAGTTGCTTTTTTGTTATTCACCTCAAGCTGCCCTACCTTGTATTATTGTACCATGGTTGCCCCCATGCTCCGGCGGAAAACGAAGATGAACAGACATATTTTACGAGCGCTTAGAAACAGCATATGACCGCTGCCCGGTCATGACATTGCTAGGAGATATTAATGCAAAAATTTGAAGGGGAAAATATTTTTAGTCCCACCGTCGGAAAATTCAACATCCATGAAGAAACGCCATGAAGTTGATTGACTTCGCGGCAACAAAAAACGTGGTAGTTAGCAGCACCAGATTCAAGCATCGCGATATACACAAGGCCACCTGGATTTCTCTTGATCAAACAACGAATTGATTATGTTGTGATTTTAGACGTTCGGTCGATACGAGGAGCGAATGTCGATTCGGACCATTACCTTATGGCAGCCAAGGTTCGCAGTCGCCTTAAGGTAGCAGCAAAAGTGCGATCTAATGTAAGACGGAAACTCGACGTCGAAAAGCTGCAAACACAACAGATAGCAGAAGCCTACTCCGGTCAACCTACCCACTCCTTGTCCCGATAATAATATAGAAGCACAATGGCAAAGAATTGACCATTCCCTACAAAAAGCAACACTTGGGTACCAAAGACCATCATCAAGAAACCCATGGTACGACAAGGTGTGTCGTAATGCTACTGATGTGAAAAACGCGGCATACAGGACAACCCTGCAGACAGTAGCAACACGTAATGCGAAGGAAGGAAAGGAGAGAGAACAGACGCGTTTTCATAAAAAAGAAGAGAGAACAAGAAAATCGACAGCGTGAGCAAATCGAGATGTACAGGAGTCAGAATATAGTTCGAATAAAGTTACCAACGAGTAAAACACCAAATCGACAACTTCGGGGCGGTCACATCCTCCTGTAGGGATGAGGAAGGAATCCTGGTGACAGATACAGGCAGCGTGATGAGGATCTGGAAGGAGCATTTCGTATTTTTGTATACCACCTAGCTAAGATGAGGTCAGAATAGCATTTAGTCGTCTTAAGAATAATAAAACAGCAGGTGCCGATGGATTACGAACCCAACTATTCAAGGACGATATCAGACGCGGATTTGAACGAATTGAGAAGGAGTCGGCCAAAGAGGGACTGATAGTAAATGGCAAAAAGACAAAGCTAATGATATCAACGCGCAAAACGTCCAGTAGACTCGCACCAACTCTGGAACTTGAAAATTACAGCTTCGAGATAGTTAAAGATTTTATATACCTTGGTATCGTCAATAATTAAAACTAATGACATCAGTTTTGAAATTCGGAGAAGGGTAGTGTGGTGCAACAGATGCTACTATGGTCTATGCAATCAGTTTAGAAAAAAGGCCAACTCCGGCTGGACCTAACTCACACTCTACAAGATGCAGATAGTACCCGTGCTGTTATATGGATCTGAAGCATGAGTACTTCCGCAAGCATATGAGACAGCTCTTGGAGTGTTAGAGAGATCTATGGGCCGATATCTGTTCTTGGATATCGACATAGTCAGACGTATCGAGCTGCAGATACTACGTTGGCTATCATGTGGTAAGAATGGAAGGGAATGCCCCAGCACAATAAGAATATAAAAGCGAGCCAACTGATGGTTAACGCTGAATCCGATGGAAAGATCAAGTGGAAGACAGCATTTTGAAACATGGTATTTTAAATTTGAAGAGCTGCGATCAAGATCGACGCACCGACGCAATCTTTTTTAAGCTCGGCTTATGTAACAAATGTTCTGTCGCAGGCTAGCTAAGTAAGTAAAGTAACAATTATTAAAAATATTCTAAATTCCAGTAACAGAGAGCGAAATGGGAGAATTACTTTACCAGTTCAGTATAAATTTCTCCAAGTATACAGGTAATCGATAATTGGTAGGGAGATTTGCTACCCAATGAGAACACAATGTACCAAATTCGCGCAGGATTACCACTATATGGGAGCTATCTTACAACGTGGACCAATTTTGGTAGAAAGATTTGCTAGCCAATGATAATTCAAAGTACTAAATTATAGTCTATTTCTCCACCTTATGGTGGAGAATATAAAAATACAATTCAAGATACACTGTTTTTAACTTCGGTGGCACTGATATATCAGGAGCATTCAGTAGAACAGAATATATATAAAAAATCAACCCTCAAGAGAACAAAAAACTTACTGCAAGAAACTCGCTAACATCATATGACATCAACACTAATGTGCCATATTCGGAAACTTTCAATCCACCAGTTAGTGGTAATAAGATATGGAAAAAGAACTGTATAATTTGTGCCAAAAATTACTTTAATCAGCAGGATGACTCTAGGAAAGCACACTGGTGATGTATGCTTTACATAAAAACGCACTCGAAAAAACGAAACCTATGCCAATGATAACAAAGAAGAATTTTGTTTATTCTTTTGTGTTTTAATATTTAAAAAAATCCATAAAGTAAAAAGTTATTTTAGCAGTTATTTTATACAAAATATATAAATAACACTGTCATTATTAGATCTTAAATTATGGGATTTCCATTAAAACTTACAAATCGTCAATAAATACAAATGGCAACATCATTATGCATCAATAGAAAATAAATCAAGGACTCAAACATATTATTATAAATATATATAAATACATGTAAAAGTTTATACAAATATCTTAAGTTACTATAGGCCAAATATAATTTTACAAATCAAAAATAAATAGGACACTCATAAATCTAGCATGAATTTTAATTATATACAAAGAAAACAAACAAATTAAAACAGACAAGTCTTTACACGTTAACAACAAAAAAAGCTAAAGTTACATACTAACTTTTCGAATTACAAAAGAATCGCGATGTTGGAAGCCTTAATGAGGCAATTTTCACTTAATCTCTCTGCTCTCTTTTTCCGTATGCCTTAGCAAAGTTTTATTACTTTATCGCCTATTAATAACTTATGTTACTCTTAATTGATTACTTCTTTTTTTTTTTGAAATATATAGACTATTTTCTTCTTCGATTCTTTTTATAACCCTTGCCATACCAACCGGCCTGGGTACGGGCCAGTTTACGTGGAAATGTGTTATTCAAATGCATTTGTCGTTTGGCTGTTTCGGCAGCTGCTATATGGGCCAGGGATATATTCTCATCGTAATCGTCCTCATCATCCTCGTCGGTGTACGAACAACAATCGCAGAGTACAAAACGACCATTGCGTGCCCTCTTCTTGTGTTTGCGTTCGTTCAGATGGAATTTCTTATAGAATTGGCATTCGAATTCGGCATACTGATCAAAACAGAAATCACAACGGGCCGCTGAACGATTCATGGCAAAATTGGGCACAATTTGAAAATCCCAAATATTGAGATCATCGGGCGGTGGGAAAACTATACTATGAAGTCCAGAGTAGGCATAACGGGCATCATACCACAAGGGTAATTTCCGTATTAGACAAGGTCTTCTTGGAGGTGTTGATGTGTTGCTGGTGGTGGTGGTGGTGATATTACCCAATTTCTTGGGTGATGACAACGACATGTTTCTCAAAATATCCATTTGTGACTCGATATGTTCCTCGACTTCTTCGTCTTCTGGTGGTTTTTCGTCTGCTGAAAGAGTTTCCTCATCTAAATCGGCTGCCATATTTTGAACTTGTACTATTCGGGGATTTTGTATCAATTTCGGTGTGGGTGATTTTTGTATTGGAGCCAAGGGTGGAGGTTCCTTTGCACTAATTGTTGTGGGTATTTTATTATTGCCACTATTTTTCAAACCATTAAATGGCTGGGATTCCAAACCAGTATCCGTTTTGAATTGCACCTGTATACATTTTGGTAATTTCTTTAAAATATGCAATGGGAAATTATTTTGCTGTGATGACGCGGTGGTCGGTACTTCCACACTTTTGATTGGAGATATTCTCTCAATTGTGTTCGAATTGTTGGGGATTTTAAGGCCATTATTCAATTTATTTACACCACCACCACCATTATCGGCTGTTTGTACCAATGCCAATTTGGGTTCATCAGTCAGGATGGAATTTTTAATGCCCATTTGATTGCCAAGTTTTTCCAAAAACTCTTCAGTACTGTTTGTCAATTCGGTGGCCTGTTTAATTAACATTTGTTCACTTTTATGCAGCTCAGCAATTTCAGCCAGCACCTCACTATTTGGTTCTAACTTCAATGGCGAATTGATCAAGGTATGAGAGTTATTTGACTCGGTTTTTATTTCTCTTTTCGGACTGTGAAGATTTGTATGCGTCAAGGCAGTTGGATTATTTTTTGAGCAATTCACAGGATGACCCTCGGTTTTTATTTCTACAGAGAACCCCTTACTTCTCAGACCATTAAGTAAATCCGGTTCAATTTTGGGCACCAACGGAGGGCTCACCGCCGAATTCTTTGCGTTGGAGATTGTATCACTTCCTCTTAACTCCACACATAGACCATTCGGTTTTGTCGTTTCATTTTCAACTTTCACCAAACCATTGAGTTTTTCTTCAGTCTTTATATCAGATTTTGTGGTAGCAATAATTTGAGTATTGTTGTTCATTGCAATTTTCGACACAATATCTTCCAATTTTACCAATTTGGCAGAAGAAGAATTTTCTGTTTCATTTTGGGGTTGTGTTGTACTTTCGGTTTTAAAAACGTTTGTCCCCCCCAGGGGTGCCGAGGATTCATTCGAATACTGTTTAGTTGCCAGAATGCCAGAGAAATTATTTGTACATCCTTTTGTCAGGGTCAATTCTGATTTCTTGCCATCCTCTTCCGCTTTAGTCTCCGATTTCACATTTGCTGCGGGGGAATCTAATTTTAGTTCTTGTTTGATTTTATTTTTCAGCTCTAAATTGGTTTTAATTCTCGAACCCATTTGTTTAAGCGGTGTACGTATTCGTGGACCTTTACCAATACGATACTCTGCGGCAGTACCCGTTCCAGAGCTATCATCACAACTCATTGCAGAATCTTGTGTTTCTTCAGCTGCCGTCGTTGCTGAACTAGACTGTGTTTCCTCTTTCTCATCGTCATCTGGCGTTTGCTTTAACAAGGGTTGAGTGAGCGTATGCAATTCTTCCGGCATGAGCAGTGTGGCATGAGCAAATATGGGATCCTTTTCTTTACTATAGACTGGTACGGGGATCTTCAAGTGATTCATTAACAGTTCCATAACACGATCACATTTACCATTGATTTTCACCTGTGCCAAACTATCTTTCGGTGTCCACTGCAGATTTACAATACAAATCTTCGCTCTTTGCCGAGGTGGCTTATCCATTTGCCATAACCACGTGTATTTCTTGAGGACTTTTAAGCTAGACCCTAAACATAGAATAACGTCGGCTTTTTCAGCGTGTTGACAGGCACCTGCCCAATTGAGGGGCCATCGCAAATTACCACGTTCCCCGAAATGCACAATTGTATCGCACAGAGGTTCAGAGCACTTGTGACAAAGACGATTGGTTTTGTGGCAGTAACGGGCAGTCATTTCGGTTGTATCAAATAGCCTCCAATAGACAGAATTGGGTTTACAATGTTTACACACTTCGATATACATGTTCCCGTGAATTTCGGATAGTGATGATTTCGGCAGTCCTGATCTCAAATGTAAACCATCACAATTTTGTGATACAACATAGCGAAGAATACCTCGTCTATGCAGTTCGTAAAGGGCCATGTGGGTGTATGTGGGATTAGCTGCCGATAAGTCATGTTCTCCAATATCTTCACCCTTCTTCAAAAGCGTCCAAATGCCTTTACTGCCTCTGTAGTCGGGTATTAATGCTGCCGTACTTATTCCGGCACCTGTGTAGCATACCAAATGTTTGGCTTGCAATATAATACTGGCCAACTCCTCAATTTTGCCTTCAATAACTTCGATATCATCTTCTTTTTCAATGACTCGCTCTTTGTAAATTTCAACACGTTCTCTGCGTTTTTTAACCTGTTTAACAATTTCCGGATGTTTTTCGAGCAAACGTCGTTCTTCTGCCGTGTGAGTTGATTCGCATTTTTTGTATATGGAATAAATCTGTAAAAACAAAACAAAGTGAAAATAATTTTAGAATTTTTGTTAACACCAAAATATTAGGGAATAAATAGGATGATACGAATTGTATGTATAAAGATCAAAGATCCCATCTAAACAATCGAAAGGGTACGTAAACAGAAATCCAATACAAAAGGATTACAGAACAGTTCAAATGTAGGTCATTGACAGACATTTAGTTTCAGATGAAATAAGCACGAATCTAGTTATTGAAAAAAAAATTATAAAGAACAGACCAGGAAAAGATTGTTTACATTGACGACTTTCTGCGACATAGATATTCATGAGGCATTCTAAACACTCTGCGCAATGGAAATATCTTCAATTCTGTCAGAGTGCCGTCCTGAGGACTGCAACAGGGTATCTCCTCATGACTCCAATAGACCAATTACATGAGGAGATGAAGATCCTTTCCTTGCGTCGATGCAATTTCTGCTTGGTTGTTGTAGCCATCCAAACCATATCCTTATGGATAGGTATCCACCACATAGGCATGTCAGGAAGGGAGCCTCTAGATCAACAGACCTATCAAGCAGGATTGAGTTGTATTCACACGGATGAAGTAGAGAAAGCAATTAAATAATATAGAGTAAATACAGTCCTCGGAGATCACCCGCCTCCGATAGCAGCAGCTATCACGACAAGATTGGTTTTCGCAATCAAGGCTGTTAAAGTGAAGTTACTACTGGGTTGTGATAAAGACTGATCCCGACAGATGTATCAGTGAAAATAAATATTGCAGTTTTGGCGTCAATTCATTGAACATCCATTACAGCAGGATCAAGCGAGCAGTTATCCGGATATCCAAGAATCTTAAAGTAGACCAGATAAATCCGATCCTAATTGAAAATCCCTCTGCCCGATTTCACTTCTTTCGCCAATAGCCAAGATTTTCCGTCCCTGAAACAGCATTTCAAATCCTACTTCCTAATTAACAATATTTGCCCCACTCATCTAACCCCATCTTCACTTTGGACACATCCGATACTGGTCGCAGCCTTTTTGAACCTGGAGTTAGAAGCAGAGCCAGATTAAAGAGGAAACACACAGCTGCTACAACAACAATATGTAATTGTGTTTTCATGATGTTACAACACAAAATATGTTTCGGAATGAATACTTGTGCTCCATGCTCTAGATTTGTTTACCGGAAATATTACCAGGTTCAAGGCTTCATTAATCTTATCATATCTTAAATTCCTTGTTTGTCCTTCAGTGTATGGGCTCATGATCGGAACTATGGTATAGTCTCGATAATTCACTTTCTACCTATAGAAAACAGAAATTATTCGCAATCAAAAGACCTTAAAAACACTTAAACCTAAATTAGCTTCCTTAAATTCAAATTTTCCACAATTTTTACCTGGCGAATATACCTATAAATTTCATAAAGTAATTCTTTTACTGAAACCAAAAATTAGAAATATTCCCTGTTGCGCTTTAGTTTTCGGGAAATCGAATATATGTGATACATTCACTCAATCTAAATATAACTTGTGTCCCGATATAGTGTTAATCTAAATATAGATAGTGTTATAAATCCCGACCTATGACTCTTATCAGTAGTACGTACAGTGTCAGCATTCACAAATTCTCACAATTTTCTCTCAAAAAATAAATCAGATCTAATTCGAATCTATACCATCACTTAAACGATTTTCAATCAAAAGATTGTTTTTTTTAATCTGTGCGAAAGGATATGTAAAACAAAATAATTATGAACCATACGAAACGACAATGTTGCAAAGCTTTGGCAACTGTGTAACAACATTTACTTATATCATGTGCACAAACACACCCACCCCAAATATTGCCACTACCACCACCACCATCCCAGGCAACAACAATCATAACAGCAACTAATACTGCCACAAGAACAACAAAAAGGAATATTCTTCTCACACACAGAAAGTACAGTGTACACCACATACGCATACACAGAGCACTGAAGCACCCATCACCCAAATCATGTCTATGACACTTGGACAAATGAATGAATGAATTCGGTTCCAATCGAAATCATTAAATATAAAATAAGTTAAAAATAGAACATATCCGCCGATGCAAAGAATTAAAACAAGAAAATTATTTACTTTACGAATTGTATCCTTTCGACGTCTCTTCTCGTTATCTGTTTTGGCCGGATTCAATTTGGCTCGTGTTATATACGTTTGCAGTGCTTCCTTGGCTGATTTTTCTTTTGTGGGAATTTCAATGTCCTGTGATGATGATTCCATATCTTCAATATCCATCTCGGGAGGATTTTGGTGATTGTCTCTCATTTCGCCTGCAGAATAATTCGCAGCTGCCGCCACTGTTTTTGGTACTGGCTGCGGCGTGTAAGAAACTGTCAATTCCCTCCTCCTTCCTTCCTTACACACACACACACTTTTTTTGTCTATTTCACAGAGGGTATCAACTTGTCTGACCGCTAATCACTGCGTACCAAACTTTTTTTTATAGTTTATTATTTACTTTGTCGTCGTTGTTGTTGTTGTTTGTTTGCTTCTGCTGGACTAATAAGAAACCCCTCACCCTGCCGTTGCTGGCGATCGATGACGTTTGGTTAAATATAGAGAGACGACAAGCGAGAAGCTGCGCTTTTTTTTCACACACATTTCATTTATAATTTTGGTTGGTGTTGCTTCACTTCTTCCGCGTATCTGGTGTTGATTGCCTTACTTATATAAATTCATGTTTTGTTTTTCCATTATCTTCGTGCAGCGCGAGTTATTTTGATGTTTTATTTTGATCATTAAGTTTATTAATTATTCTATTTTGTTGACTTTTTCCACAAAACGATTAGCAAGAATTTTAACACAAAATAAACAAACAAAAACATTTTTTCCCCACTACACTATGAAGTCGATGACTTCCGCTGCGATAACGTGATGTCAAAGATATCGACTCGTCCAATCGAAATACACAGATATCGGATTCATTGAAAAATGATAACACGATGCCATTATCGAAGAGAAGAAACAGTTTTACCGACCGACAGAAAACAATTCGTTTGTTTAGACCAGAATATCTGCACAACAAAATAAATCACAAGAGAGATTGCATATTTATTATTGCAGTACGGGAACAGACCAACACTTATTTTGATATTAGGACGAAAAATGACTAAATTTGACATAAAACGGCACATACATTAGAACTTTTTACAGGGTTAACCTACTTTATGAAGATTTATTTGACACATATGCAAAGGAATTGACAGTTGAAACCCACTGGGTTAACGAAATCCGGTTAAATGTAAACGTACTGTAAAATATTGCTGGAGAATGTATTGAAGTTAAATGTGAGAAACTACTCTCGTAAAAAATTTGCGGTTTGTTGGAATCGTCACCGAAACGCTTACAATATATGATTATCCTTTATGTTAGTTATATAAAGACCAAACGATCGAGGTGTAATGATCTTTTCTAATGAAATAAAAAAATACAAAATACTTTTTTGTGATAAACATTTTTGAGTTGTTATAGATTTTAGCTGATATCTTCGAGAACAATAGGTCTTTCGCAGCGACTCTTGCAGAAATAAGATCTAAACATGTACACAAACATATTCCATCACATATAATTCAATTTACATCTTTAGTATGCTGGCTTTTGACTTATATATTGGAATTTTGTCAAATTCGTATTGAGGCAAAATACTTATTACACTCACGTATATGGGCAATATTGCCAATTTTTTAATATTCACATATAGAGAAAAATGAAAAAGTTATCGAGGTTTTAATTTTGGGCATGAGAAAAAAATCTTAAAATTACGCCGTTTGATGACATACACACACCTACGTAATGACATACACACACCTAAAAATTAATTTAAAAATTGGTCTGTTCCCGTACTGCAAGAATCTACTAGATTTTACTATTTTCTTCGATATCATAAAGGAAAATTCGTTATTATATAAATTATGAGATTATTGCAGTACGGGAAAAGACCAAATATCTACATAATCTAAACACCATGATGAATCAAATTATATCAAAATCACAGAAGTCCGTGTAGCGGTTTGTAAATCACAGCGACAACAAAACAAGATATTGAGGAAAAATATTTGTTTTTGATTCGAAAAAATAATGTAATCATATTTATTTATTTTTTTTTAATTTTATACGAGAAATTTCAGAAGTATATAAGTATACGCCTTGCGGATTATATCAAGACCCATCCGATAAATCTTGGGGTTCTATAAATAGGAATAAATCTTAAAATAAAATAATAGTATGAAATATACATTTTAAATTGCGTCTAAATCGCGTAATTCTAAAAATCATTTGATGCTCATGTGGTTTCCAGGAAGTACTGAAGTTTATCTTCCAATCCATATATATTTTGCGAAATTTCATTTGACGGCTAAGATGTACTACATGTTGCATTGAAGTACCCAAAAACTCGTAAAACGCGAATAATTTCCGAAAACTCCATATGCCATTAACGCGCATCCGATTTCGGTGTGTTAGAGTACACACCGAAATCGGAATACATCGATCTATTTCAATGTGGTCCATGAAGAACTACATACACAAAATATATATCAAATTACTCAGATTCGCGACTACAATAATCTTATAATCGATTTTTTGAAATTCCTGTTTGCGTATTAAAGCTAGAAGATTCAAAAAACAATCAAAATCGAGCTTCAAAATGTCAGCATCATTTAACGGTAGATGCAGTTAAAATTTTGAAAAATTATGCATAAGGGCCGTAGTCCCCATTTTGTTGTCTTCCAGTTTTACTTTGACACGAAGACCGTGAAATGAGTGGCTTAATCATAAATCGATAGAGAATATATTAAAACTGGTTCGCCTCAACCTGTTTTTACACATTTTTTTTTACATTGGAGGTCAATATCATGAACAATTTGCAGCGACAGATCCATTAACCCAAAACTATTCACTTTTTTCATATACTTAAGTAATTCCCGAGTTATAAAGGGGTGAACCTCCGCTTCAGCTATGTTAAAAAATGATCAATATTGCCCATATATATTTTTAAATCCCAATAGTTTAAAAAATACAAATTTTGGTTTGACCTTGAAAAATATATTGTAGAAAATACTCGTCGTGATTAGTCTTTGAAAAAAAAACTTTTTTTATCCAGTCCTTGAATGGGTGTTAAAAAATATATATATTTTTAATTCTGTCCCTGAAATAATATTTTTTTTTCAAATCTACGCCTCTATGGCCATTGATAAATATTAAAAGCCCGTCTTTACGAGACCAGTATGTTATTTGAAATGTTTTTTTTTCTTTTTTTTATAGAAGAACAGTAGGCTATATAGCAAAAGAGAATAAGGTCATCACGTATAATATAGTCTTCAAGTAGTTCTGTTATCCCGTTACTCCTCTTGGGATCATAATACTTCCATATTTTACCAATTTACTTTATTCCTTCTGTTAGTTAATTGATGTTTTTATTCTAGCTAAGTAAATGATTGTAGTCTGTCTTTGGTTATAGGTCTGCCATCTATCATTGCCTTGAAACAACGCCACCTTAAATTTTGTACTGTGGTTGGATTCTTTGCTTATTAAGTGTTGCAATTGTCCCCTGGGTGACGATATATATGCTGGTATATCAATTCTGTATTATCCTAATGTGTTGAGCTGATGCCGAGGTTGGTTATTAGAATGGCAGTGGGTTTCGGATACAGTAAACCACTATATTATTTGAAAGAAGATCACGAAATACAAAGTCGTGATCATCCAGTTATTCCGCTATACTGTTACTCCTCTTTTGATCATAGGATTTCCATACTTCGACAACTTACTCCATCAGCCCTTCTGTTGGTTTAGTTCATAATTTTTTTTTTTAATCCAGCTAAGTAAATGTAGCTTGGGCTTCGGTCTTGTGCGCGTCTCATCCAATTCGAAAGACCATGCTCCGAAATGTTGTATTCCACTTAGCCGTGCTAATTTGGCATACCATTGGCTTCAGTCGTTCACATAGCACGCTAGATAGCACTTTATATGCGATGGGAACGAGACTTATTCGTGTATAGTTAGCACATATCGTCTTGTCTCCTTTTTTGTGGAACACAGGATGCAGAGGTTTCAATGATTGGGCATGCATTTCTATAGCCAAATTGTACTAATACGCTGGTACATGCTCCTGACCAGCATCTGACCACCGGTCTTGAATAGTTCAGCTGGTAACCCATCGGCGCTACGTGTTCCTACTGTCTGCAGGGTTGTCATATTTTTGCCATTGTGCTTCTATATTATTATCTGGACAAGAAGTGTTTTCGTCAAGCAAGTGGGTAATTTGAGCGGAGTAGGCTTCTGCTATCTGTTGTTTTTGCAGCTTTTCGCCGTCGAGTTTTCGTGTTACATTAGATCGCACCTTCGCTACTACATAAAGAGGAGTGCGAACTTTAGCTGCCGCATGGTAATGATCCGAATCGATATTCGCTCGCTAAAATCTCCTAGGAGAAATTTAATGTCATGGCCAGAACTGTGGTCATATGCTGTTTCAGGGCCCTCATATATATATATATGATTTCAAGCAAGGAAAAATTTTTAGAATCGTAACATAATTTTATATTTAAAATAATATTTGAAAATTACGATCAATATTCTAATTTTATATGTTCTAATATACCCGATTTTCATACCAAAAATTGCACGTGATATCACAATTAAATTTTAATGGTGGGCATTTGAAAATATATTCTCAACAGATTAGTCTCAAAATGAAGTATCCAACGGATTTAAATAATTGATCTAGATTGTCTCTTATTCTATTATTTGAATACTTGATATTTCAATGTACATATGAATCAATCCAGTTCAAATAATTTTTAACGCGCGTATAAAATGAGGGCACATCTGGCGTCGCACAACCGCTAACACCGGTCGACGTAATGCCCACAATAATGTGCATGCATGGGTATTGTGGATGCTGTACTAACAATGGTCCTCCTGAATCACCTTGACAAGTATCTTTCATTTCTTTGGATCCGGCACATAAAAGAGAATCGCGTAAGCTTGGCGGCAATGATTCCAAACCTTCGGAACGTTGGACTAAACTAGCACATTTCTCGTGTGAGTATGGTTGCAATGCAACTTTTTTTAAATGTGAAGATGGTTCACCAGCAAATGCAACATGTCCCCATCCAATGGCTATAAATGAACTTTGTTGTTCTTCGATTAAACGCAATGGTGGTAAACATGCCGGATGTTTATATGCATTGAATTTTATATTTGATGTTAATTGTATCAAGCCAATATCATTGTATGGTTCATTCATGCGATATTCGGGATGCTCTATAATTCGCAGAATATAATAATCTTCGGGTTGAGCATCGTCTGTATTTGAATTGAAATCTAATTCACCCAAACGTACAAGATTCACCTTGCCGCTGAAAAAAATATATATTTAACAATAAACAGGGAACCGAAATATTTTTCGACTTACAGTGGCGAATGGAAACAATGAGCGGCAGTCAGAATATAATTGCTACTAATAATTGTTCCACCACAAAGCCAATTGATATTCGTCAATGACTCAGCACTTCCCAAGCGTGCAGCAAATGGAAATTCCTTGGGCTGGGCATTTTCACCGCCCACAATAAATCCTGTTGCTGTCTTGCAATGATCCTCAATAAAAGGTACACCTTGAGCGTCGGGATGAAAGTAACTTATTGTCGTTTCCTCTTCGTACAATAACTTTTTATATTCCAAACAACCTTTAAGGGAATCAAAAGACGATTAATGATTTTTTTAAACAAATATATACTCTTGTGTACTAACGTTTTTCATGTTGATCTTGTCCAACAACAACAAGGCTATTGTATAATGTCACCAAAACACAAAAAAATTGCAAAACATTCACAACGTGTTTGCCAAGAAAGTGCATTATTTTGTTTTATAAACAAATAAGAATATTTTTACATTCGGAGAATTGTTTATACTGCTTCGGAGGCAGTTGATTCTACAATGATTTCAGCATTTGAATTTATTCAAAAATCTGGTTCTAAACTCTAACTTTGCTCATATGGTTAATTAGCAATAATTCGACGAATTATGACGTCTTCATTTATTTAGGCAAGCTGCATATTATAAAAGAGTGTAACGAAATGTAATTTTGTACTTTCAAATGAGAAAGTGCAATAAAATTATAAGGTGCTACATATAAATTAGTTTCTGTACTTAAAAAAAACACTCAAATGTATAAAGGGAAAATCGACAAAAATTTTGATATCTTTTTAGAATATTATAGTGGTTTTAGAAGAGAGCAAGAACGTTACACAGACACAATGATCCGACTTTTAGTAAAAACATAGACTAATGAAGAAGAAAAGTTCCCAATTGGCATCAGCAAATGAACTGCTTCCGTCTCAGGAAAGTTAATTACATGTCTTGAAACCAACTAAATGCTATGAGAGGAAAAGCTATGTAATTAATTATAAAACTATGGAATCTCAACAAGATAGTGTATGCACTTGCACCTGTCATACATCGGAAAAAGCTTCATTTCAATTAACAATCAGTTATTGGAAAATAACAAAAAATTGACAATAGAAATAGAGAGGCTGACCTGTTTGGATGTTGAAAAAAAAAACATTCACGAAGCTATAGTAAAAAAACACGAAAATGTGGTAGAGGTGCTCCAACAAAAAATAAATGAGATGACTACGGCTCTTAAGACAATCCACCGCAATTCAACATACCTAAAGGATGTGGAAGGTAAAGCATCAGCTCATTTGTCTAAAATGATATGTAATTCCGTAATGCAGTACAGTATTACCGAAAAAAATATTGCCCAGTCGCTATACCTAACTTCCAGAAAGAGCTTTGGAGAACGCGTTCTCAAGAAAAAATCAATGTGGCTTTCAAGAAAATTGTCACTGGCGAATAGCGAATAGCAAATTCAAAAAACGGAAACTTGACATACCGATCAAGAATAACAAAATAATTAAAACTGTTAAAATAAATTTGGCAATATTTATATATACATAAATTTTAATTATAATAATTTATAATTTAATTATAAATTTTAATTATAATTATATATATATATATATATATATATATATTTTTTCATTTCCATGTACTACATTTAATAAATCTAGTAAACTTAAAATTCTCATTACATTGCATAAATGTTGAATTTATCCTCATAGAGGAGTTTACCCGGAACAAAATTATAATGTACACGCCGTTTTATAGATATAATGTTATCTGTGCCAGAACACTTATTACCTATTACGGAACAATGCAGTATAGTTTGGTAAGTTTTACTACAGCTTTACTAAATCAAATATTAGTGTAAATTGTTTTCTTCTAACAGTATTGCAATAGCTTAACTAAAAACTACGGTCTAAGGACAATCCGATCTACACTTCGGAACGACCAACTCTGCCAGGGATAAAATAAATTTTTTCCGACAGGAAATAAATTTTGAGTAATCATTGACATGATTAAAGGTACTTTCCATATTTACATACAATCGCATAATATATGTTTATTTTACATTTATATTACAATCATTTTTATAGTTATTATTTGTTTAATGCTAAAGCATTTTTGTAGCATATTGATGCCAACATGGAAATGCATATGGATACCAATCATGGATAGGGCATTTAGTGGCGACATGGAAGTGCCACAATGGATTTATATCCAAATTTCGTCTTGATTTGCCCATCATCATTTTGAAAAAGTATGTAAGTATATTAACATTCTTATTGTCATATTAATACATATGTATTTACAGTTTCCGCGGCTCTCCTCACTATTTTAGTGAGTGCATGATGGGAAAACGGAAATTCATATGGATACCAATCATGGATTGGACACTATGTGGTGGCGACATGGAAGTGCCACAATGGATTTATAGTACGTTTACATTTAACCGGATTTCTTTAACCGAGTGGGTTTCAATTGTCAATTCTTTTCCATATATGCCAAATAAATTCTCATAAAGTAGGTTAACCCGGTAAAAAGTTCTAATGTATATGCCGTTTTATATCCAAATTTTGTCTTGAAAAAGTATGTAAGTACAATGATATTATTATTGTCATATTAATACTTTTGTATTTTACAGTATCCGCGGCTCTCCTCACTATTTTAGTGAGTGCATGATGCCAAAATTTAAAAGCATATGGATACCAATAATGAATTTTACACTATTTGGTTGTGACATGGAAGTGCCACAATGGATTTATATATGATCTGTTATAGAAACTGCAAGAATATTCTATGAATTGAGATTCCTTTTTTTCCCTGTTTATATTCTTTTAAAAGAATTAAAATGTCAAATAGAAATAAATTTATTATTGTGCACTACAATTTGTAGTTTCCCTTTTAATACATTAAAACAAAATTTCAACCAAAATATAAGATTTCATTTTCAATATTTGATAATGAAAGGTAATATGGATTCAGATTTTTTTAATGCTATCAATTATCCCCATATTGAAGGAGTTCACACATTTTGTATTGTGTTCCTTAAATAGTTTCTTGAACGCACCATTTTCAATAAGTTTTTATATACCATTTCATTAGGTTCCTACGATGTTCATTTATATTTTTTAAACGTCTTTCAGATTTATTCATCATAAGTAATGCCAAGGTGTATTTAATAAGTATATGCATCAGATACAACAACAAATATTTTACAAAAACAACATTGTTGTTATAGAAATTAAATTGTCATGCTGACAATAAGTTTTTGACAAAAATAAACAAAAACAATTATTCATTTATTTTTGTCAAGAACTATTCTTTGAGGAATAATTAATGAATTTGTGTATTCATGTGTTATTGGCGGTTTTAGGTCAGTGCAAAATAAAGTTTAAGACCTGGTCGCGATTAATTTAAAGTTTCCCACATGCAGTCCATGGCTCCTTGTGATGTTGTTTATATTGTGGCTTCAAATCTTGCCTTCTTAAAGAAAATTGAAGGAAATAAATCCCCGGCCAAAGACTAAATCATGGAAATTGTGTTGACCGTATAAAATCTTTCCATAGGCGTATTTAACCTCTGCCGAGAATTGTGACAAGCATCAAGGGGCCGATTCCAATATAGGCTAACATAATCTCCTCGATTTTATGAGTAGCTGGGTTTTGTGGACAGATTTCCACACATAACATAAAATATGTGGACCAATCGGCGAACGGGTTGTAACTAAGCTTAGGTTCCTTTCCGTCCGCCTCTATGAATGTAGTGTTCTTGAATTTTTATTATTAAAAAAGTGTAAATTTCAAGACCATTTTTGAAATTGAAATGTAATATTGAAAATGTTTTTGACAATTTACTTTACAAACAAAGAAGAAAAAAGTTTGAAACCATATGATTGTCACTTACACCTTGAGTAATGCTACATACCACATTTCAGGTTTACAAAATTCTCCGTCCGTCAGTGGAACGGTAGCTAGCACTAATTTCTTTGAAATTGAACTTCACATGAAATTTACAAGTTTTTATAGATACCGGGGGTCCCATCTTGGATATTAAATTTTCAAAAATGGCAGAGACGAGCACTCAAAAAACCCCGATGAGCTTACAGAATAAAGAAAATGGCGTGTAGCTTCACAATTGTTGGGCCCTGTTTTTTCCTAGTGGAGGCCACTAAATCATCTACAATATTGAAACTTCGTGGAGACTGCGATGCGTTGCTCTGGAGGGATTGCACTTCTCGCACCCCAGTTCTCAAAAAAATGTAAAATGTATGTATATTTAATAATAACAAAAGAGGAAATACAAGCAGCAAAAGCAACATGTGTATTATTTATACTACTTAGTTTGGTAAATACAAAATATTTAAAATTCTTTGATTTTTCTTTTTTTAATAATATGTTATCATAAAGAAATGAATGTATAGACACAATAGTGCTCAAAAAAATGATAGTGAAGAGACTCAAAGCAAAAACCCAAAGCCAATATGTAGCAAAATATAAAGATTTTATATAAAATATTTATGCTATACAATAGATTTTTCAAGCATCTAACTATATTTATTGTCTTTGACCTTAAAAAGTTTATAAATTCGATTAAAAAAGGAAAATACCTGTTAGCATAGACTAATGAAAGTATAGATGAAATGCTCTCACCAGTCCTCTCTGAATTGCTGAATGCGCTACTCAATTTTAAATGCTGATTTACTTAAATGTTTGAACCTTTTAATTTGGAATGCCACCATAGACTAATGAATGTATAGACGACGAAATGCTCTCACCAGTGTTCTCTGAATTGAGTCTGCTGAATGCGCTACTCAATTTTAAATGCTGATTTACTTAAATGATTGAACCTTTTAATTTAGAATGCCACTAAATATAGTTATTTTTAAGCAGAAACTATAGCTTCAGATAAAAACATTAAGAAAAACTAGGCCATTTTCCCCAAAAAACGTCTTTAAAAATTTTTGAGTTTTTTATTTTGTGTCAATTGACCGCGCATTTTTTGAGTATTTCGTCGTCTATATCTTCATTAGTCTATGATGCCACTAAATATAGTTAGTTTTAAGCAAAAACTATATCCTCAGATAAAAACACTAAAGAAAACTAGGACATTTTCCCCAAAAAAATTCTTTTAAAATTTTTGAATATTTTATTTTGATTCACTTGGCCGCGCATTTTTTAAGTATTTCGCGGTCTATATCTTCATTAGTCTATGCTGCTTCAAAATCAATTTTATAGCTAATTCTCCCCATATTCGAATGAGTGATTTACAGTTCAAAATTGAGTAGCTTCAGTAGCACTGGAGTGAAAGCTTAGTGCCATACATTCATGAGGGCGACACCTGCTAGGAAGATGAAA